GCTATTACCAAGAACCTGTCAGAAGCAATTTGCTTCTTTGTAAACAGAACAACCATACAGCTAACTTAGCTATCTCCAGACTTTATTTATCTGCAAACTAACTGGAAATAACTTTATCAGCAAAACAAAAGCTGCAAGTTTTGTCACATGTTACAAAGTTTAATAGTTCAAGTCTTAATACAGTTACTGATGAAAGCGAAGTTTATTGGCTACTTATTCCTGCCTAGAACAACTGCAGGGGGACAATTGATATTTCTCAGTAAACAAAAGCAAGTCAAGTTTCTTAGATTAACACAGCGATTTAGAGGAATAATTACATGAAGTTGTAGTGGGTCTTGCAAATAAGCTTTTGATGTAGCAATATTCCAATTTCCAATGCAGGAACTGATGCCTGGGTATTTAAGCAGTTACAGAAATAACCCCAAAAACTGTTCAGTCCAGGAATGAAAAAAATGGCTCAGAATAAGAAGGTTAGAATAAATGTTTTCTATTACTAAAAAAATGAAATGTCTGGAATGATGAGTTCTGCAAGTAGATTATATAGGGTGCTAAAGGTAATTAACATAGTAGAAAACCAGGTAAGTTTATCTATCAGTTTAGTCCTGGGGGAAATTAAAGGTATCGTAAGTACATCAGCCTGGTCAAAATTCCATAATTTTCCCCGTAAGCTTAAACTTAATGAATTTAAAAATCATTACAGCCATCTCCAGTCCTGCTTTTCCTGTTCTTGTAAGTCTGCAGCAATTACTGACCACAAGAAGAAACTATGATGTTCTGGGGTAGATGCAGTCTGTGATGGCAATTGAGTAGGACAGCATCCACACAGGTCGTGCCAAACTTGCAAAATATTCTTTCTTTTAGTACGTTATGCCTTTAGATAAGAGTGCAGTGGGAAGAAGCCACATTCCTTCCAACTGGCACTGCAGATTAAAGGCACAGGTAATGTACTTAGAACTATAAAGTCTTAAGGTTCTGTAGAGATGTAGACTGTTCTCTGAAAGAACACTTTTCATTCTTTCAGCTCATCACTGCTACGTAAAAGATCCTTAGCTGGAAAGTACAAATATCTTAAGTGTCACTCCCATTCTAGAAATTCTGTTTTCTCTAAAAATACATCTTTTGATACTAAGGCCTTAAATATGTTAGGATTTATTTCCTGTGTTTATAGATGTAGTGCATTTGTATATTTATATTTAATCATATATTTACATTTAATTGTATATTTATATATACACTCCCAGACATGTGGCCCATATGTCTCACTATAATTCCTGTTAGAACAAGGGATTTTAAAGCTGGGACAAAGTTGATTGTTTATCCTCTCAAAATCAGGAAAGCAGAGGCAAGTAATCTCAGAGAAAGGCGCCAGAAATTACTCAGACTGCTACAGATCTATCCTTTAAACACAGTCTTTGTGAGCCAGACCTACCCTCACAGTTGGACAGGACAAAAAAGCAACATGGGTGGACTAAGCTTCTTATGGAAAAGACTGCACAGAATAAGACTGGGAGGAATGATACAATATCTCTGGCTTGAATGGGCAGAATGAGTGACTTATGGGCTGTGAGAATAGGAAACCTGAGAAAGCAGAAGGAATATCTGAAACCTTAATCTGACTGGGACAGGGAAGCAAGGGAGAAGAGTTGCAGCTGTGACTGTCACATAGACTCTCCCGAGTTCATTTACCTCTACACCCTTCTGTTGGTATTTCTGCAGCACGTAGATTCCACCACTAGCCTTCCAGCTAGGCTAAGTATCTGCCATTTCTCAGTGTCATTTGACCACTGGACACAGCTTATCCTCTGGAATTTATCCTTATATTTCCCTTCCTCACAGGGTCAGTTGGGTTTTGATCAAAAACAAAAGAGTAAAGGTGGTGCACACAATAGACTGCAACCAGAAGAGCTCACTGCCCACATCTGGGTGACCTCCATCTTCTTTCTGCTAGCCTATTCTCTATTCCTATCTGTTTCTGGATCATCCAATTGCTCCAAAAGTTAAAAACAAACTATATGTAATATAATGACACATGTAATCTCTCAGGTCAGCCTTAGGACATTTTTGCTGTTTAACTTTCCCACAGCCATAAAAACCTTTCCAATTTATCAGATCATGCCAACTTCACCAAAAGTATTCTTAGTTATAACTGAAAAACTGTCTCTCTGTCCATCTTTTTTTTTTGTTTTTATTGTTGACTGTAATCTATCCAGATGGCTGATGGCCAGATGGTTTCTGACCTTGTTCTAGTTGCTGGACCAAATCAAGACGCTGTTATTCTCTTCCTTCCTAAACCACTGAATTGCAAACACATTCTGTGTCTTCATTACTCTTATTTGATGCTTGTAAGGCCACTATATTTGTAAGCCCACCATTTAGTTGATGTAATGCCTTCCAGCTTAAGAACTGCTATCCTAGGAACTAGGCCTGTGAACAAGGAATATTCTTGAAGTCACAGATGACTTCTTTGAAGTACTTGTGAGTCCCTAAAAACCAGGGACATCCTGAATGTACCATCCAAAGTTTTCTGACTCAGGTGGTTAGAAGGGATCTCAAGAGTTGATCTGGTCTGCTTACCTGCTAAAAGAATGTCCGCTTATAACGGATTGCTCAGGACCTTGACGGACTAGAACATTTCTGGGCTAACTCTGTGTTTTACCATCTTCATGGTAAAAAAGACTTTGCAGTTATTTCTTGTGTTTCAGCTTGTGCCCATTTCCTTCCATTCTTCTACAGTGGAGTCTTGCTTTATCTTCTCACTCCCCTCTGCTCAGGCACTAGCGGTCACAGTAAGATCTCCCCTGAGTCTCCTGAGGCTGAACAAACCCAGTGCCATCACCTCTCCACGAACGTCATGTGATCAATCTCCTGACCACCTGGTGACTCAGTTTGACCCGGTCTATACAGTACTGGGAAACCTACAGCTATCTATACCCAACACCAGAAAGATCACAAGTGCTGAATAAAAGAGAGCAATCACTTAGGCTCCTACAACAAGGCATCCTACAACAGCAGGATGTTATCTGCCTTTGCCACAAGGGTGCACTGCTAGCTTAAGTTCAACCTGCTAACCACCTGGCACAACTTCCTTTGCCTCCAGTTCTTTTTATACTACATTGACTTCTAGACAACTTGCATAATTTTGTGTTCATTCCCAGGCTTTAACTACATTTATGGTAAAAACTAGAATAATTCCTCTTAGTCTTAGTCCTCTTAGTCCTCTTAGAAAAAAATGGGAGAGCTACAAGATAATAATAACAATAAAATCATTGTTTCAGCCATCAGTCATCATTCTTAAGATCTAGATGTCAGCAAGTAAGATGTAGCATGCCTTCAATAAAGTTATCAGAAATAACAATTAATAATCTACTTCAATGAGATTTCAATGGTGTCAATCTAATACTTGCTTAATTATTGCCTACTTCAATAGAAAATTATTAGAATTGCATAAACTTTTGACTGAAGTTGTTGAATAATCCCTCCTAGGCAATCACACAGACTTAATTAGAAACTTATTTGGTATCTATTTATTTGACACAAAAATACTGAATTTAAGCACCAGCCTAAATCAGTACTTACCCAGGAGTTATGGAGCTAAGACTTTAATTTACACTTCCTGAAATAGCATTTATTAATATCTGTGAGGAGGTACCTAACTTACCAGGTAAGCAGTAAAGTCTGAGACTCCCTGAATTGCTTGTTAAAGACAACAAGACCTTTAAGTGCCTTGAATGGAAAGCACAATCCTTACTACATTGTTTGACAGGGAACTATCCATTACATTCAAACACCAGTTTTCACCACAGACTTTTATTTGCCACCACAACTTAGATTTCTTCAAAAATGTTCCCTAGTAAAACACGTAAACTTATCTTAAGTGTGATTTTTAAACAGAGACAATTCTTTTGTTCTCACCTCCTACAGGAAAATGTCAGATTAATACACATTTTTTCTTAAATGGTTATTAGTTTTGTTTATTACAGCTTCTCATAAAAGAAGCCCTCCAGCTCCTGAATTAGAACAAATTTTCTACACTTCCAGAGAATAAAAGGCGGATACATCAAAAGACTGGACTTTAGAAGCTGAATCATTTACTAGGTGGCAGTTCCTGAACACAATTTCACAAAAGGATACGAGGGCAAGCAAAGCAGATATCCATGCAGGAGACATCTGTTGCCCCTCCTTTATCTCACCAGCGCAAGCAGCAGCAGGTTTGGGATTTTCACACAGAGTATTAAAAATGCTGATGCCTGCTTATCTTCGTGTACAACTTGGTGATGGAAGTCCTTGAGACTGGCATAAAAAGCAGCAGGTGGAGGAGTCTTGTGGCAGCAGAACAATCCTGTTTTGGCTGAAGGCTGTGGGAATGAGCAGAAAAACTGCTCCAGAGCAGAATCTTGAAGGCCACAGTGCCTGGAGTGAGACTTTGCTTCATTAGCCATGAGATTAATACTAAAGTTAACACCCCACTTGTATGACAATGACCTCTTAGAAGAACATGCTAAATAGATATGACTGTAGTGCTCAACTCTCTGCCAGATCATGTTAAACATCACCCAATACGGGAAACAAAGAAGGTTTAGGATATAAGGGGAAGTATGTCATGGGTTGCACAGTGGAGAAGAGGAAGAGAAAGAAGAAACTGAAGGAGAGAAGAGAGCTAAGAGAGGGGAAGCTGTGTTCCTCTTCTTCCACCAAGACAGGGACACTTTCTTTCTAAGCATTACATCTCACCTCTTGGAGAAGACTACCTGAGATATCATGTGTTTTGCTAGCATTATGATTATATATTCACACTATTGGCAGCTAGTGCATTTATCAGCTGCAATACCCAATGTGTTATGTCTACCCCTTACATAAATCTGTTCTTTTTGAACGTTTGTGAAACTGCCCAGTGAAAGTCCTGAGGAGACTCTGTCAGACAGACTTTTGTTCATCTGTCCCATTAAAGTCCTGAAGGGACTCTGACAACTCTGAAATACCAAAACAGAGATTGCAAACAATTTAAAGCACAGAACTTTCAATTTACTTTTATTTCAGCTTTATAAAGAAGGTCATTTGACACCAATAACTTCAAAAAATAAACAAAAACCCAACCAAGTCAAATAAGAATCTTTCAACAAATAACTTACAATTGTTCTAAAACACTTTTCTTATTTTGCTTATTTCATTAGGTGGCAGATATTGTACAGAAGTGCCACAGAAACCGTGGTACTGAGGTCCACTTAAGCATCCTACACAATTTTAGGTTAAACCCAAGCAGTTAATACTCAGAGCACTTTAAACACATTAAACAATATAGGTAATATCACAGCCAAAATGCAAAAATATCTGTTTTATACACAATTTTCAAAGCGCTTCATGAAGTTGCATGAATTCTAACTTACAGCACAAGTTATTTCGAAGGATGCTTACTGCAGAACACCTGCACCAAGTAAGTTTGCAAGAAACAACATCACTCTGCGGGCTGTGGAAAATGGTTAGTATATTCAAGCTCAAGTCTTGGTTACAGTGACATCAGTAAAGATTTTGCTACTGACTTCACTGATCAATGATTGCTGTTATCCATCATTTTTCTGCCAGACAAAGGTGTAAAGGTCTGCTGAAGGAGTTACAAAATAGCTAATTGAAAATTATTTCCATGAGGCACGCGTGCAGTAAGAAGTTCAAAACTACCGGCTTTAGTACTATTCCATGTGAAAGTCACAGACACTGCAGCCAAAGCACATGAGAACAGAGCAAACACCTCTGTTATACATTGCTGAGCTCCTTTTTAAGGCCATGTTACTGTATTCTAGGAAGAAAGACATCCACACTTATTCCTTTTGGTATCATCTCCCTAGATGTACGGTAGATATGTAGTATCATGTTTCAACCAAGTTATTGAAACGCATTGCAAACCAAATGTTTTTCCACGTGTGACTTGATGCATAACTACAGATAAGCTCCAACAGCCATGATTTAAGATGCTTAATATACATATCTACATAAAATTTTTGATATTCATGCAGTTAGATGTATAGTGATGAGTATGACTTCTCAGTATGAACAGATTCAGTGTAGTTACTAGTTTCAACTTGAGAAGCTAAAGATACCTGGGCTTTAGTAAGAACAGTAGCAGAATACTTGACTGCTGAAGTGCATCTCACCAAGTTCATATTTTTATGCCAGATGTAATTTGATTTTTAAAAAAAGGAGTATAATGTTATGGAAGCCTTTTAAGTTTTGTATTTCAAATCAGAAGTACAGATGAGAAGCATCAGCTGCATTCACTTCAGTGTGGGTGAAAAGTTAACACGCTTCAGCCTTATGCTGTTTAATATCAACCAAATCAATTAGGTGTGGTTTTGTTTTTGATGATGCTTTCTTCATACCTACGGTATGCCAACTGCACTGGAGGGATGTGATACACCTTCAGCTCACCAGACATGTGACAGCTCCTGTCCAGAACAAACCTCTGCAGTGTAACTACGTACATTCCCCCTATTGGCAGTTACTAGCTTGGAAATACTAACATAGCTCTGAATTTCTAGACCAAAATTACCCTTTGTCTAGCCATGGTGAGCTGTCACTGCAAGTACTGGGAACAGATACACTCCTCATAATGATGGGATTTGAAGAAATAAATTACTGAAAAGATGCCAAGCAACTTACTTCTTTCACTGAATATAGCAAAGTGCTACACTTTGTAGGATCAAACACTAATTTGCTTAAAAAAATAAGGGCACTATAGGCTTTGTCAATTTATCTTTCATTTCTGTTCACTAAATGTAATACAAAAAATGTGAAAATAGATTTAAACCACTACATGCACATTAAAAGCTCAAGAACTGAGAATCCTTCTGGTAACTGTTCTTATAACAGAAGCATATGCATTTGAGGCATTTAGAAAAACATTTAAGTCGTCTTATGCAAAATAATTAGCACAAAAATTTGCAGTAACATGCATTTTAATTCTGAAAAGGTTTTGGAGGCAGATGAGGTGAATTTGCCGCTGTTTCATATTTCACAATCTCATATCACTGAGAATGAAACGTAGCCACAGAATTCTTCACACTTAAGGTTCGCAGTTTCATGACTGACTCTGTGAATTTAAGCACGGGTTGCTGCCTTGCATTGTCTTGGCAACAAAAGTTAGAGCTGTGCCACTTCTGATCAGACTTACAGTTTTCTCATCCACCCCACCTCATAATCTGGAACAAATCCACCCTCTGTGAAATTGCTTCTTACACCAGACACTCATGGCCTTTTGTTCATGGCATTTCCATGCAAGAAATATCTCCCACTGGCAAAGAGCTAAGACAAATGTTCTTAGAAATTTTACAAATATTGCTCTGACTCTAAACACACTTAGCTCAAACTTCACATATTCCCTTGAGCTCTCACAGTACAGAAGAATATTACAAATAATGAACAAAACCATGCAAAAAAAAAAAAACCCAAGTCCACCAAACTAACTTATCTAAATAAAACATGAACCAAATAGAACACTAAAATAATAATATTAAATATTATCTTGTTTGGTGTCTCAAATAACAGCATCAGCAATTTTCTTTTTCTTGTCTATTTTTTTAATGTCAAATTTGAGATACAACAGAATAAACCTTAATTTTCCACCTTCCTCAAATCTTTTTTCTTCAGATCCAAAAGAAGTCTGTGCTCTTGTGACGTCTAGAGTGTACACTCATAGTTAGTGAATAAGTTTCATATTTCCTTGCACACAGAAGAGTAACTCAAATCCCCAGATTCACCACAGTAACATGGAAGTGAATTAATAACATCAGAAAATGCTTTTTGAATATTCCCATTAATGTTTTTAACAGGTTATTCCTGGTTCATTTTAAACTGCATGAGATACATCAAAATAAATCTGTAAGAATTATTATTCCTATTACCCAAAATAATCTGTTTGATAATTTTCTTTCACTTTCAAGGCATTGATGAAAATTCACATCATTCTGAAAGCATATTAGATTAAAAAAAAGTGCAGACAACCCAGCTTTCAAAAAAAAAAAAAAAAGGTACAACTGTTAGGTACAATGCACTTAGGTAAAGTATTGCAATCCAGCCTCAGATGTTAAACCATGGATATGTTGGACAAGCACTCATTTGACAAGTAACCAAAAGCACCTTCTGCAGTAATTTAGTATCTTCACCTGTGAGCTTCTGTGCCGTAATTCTACATCAATGACTTCAGTCCTGGACATCAAAGTAGTCAATTACTGGCTCTTCTTTTAGTGGTTTGGACAAACCGCTGCTTCCACTATTCCTGAAGTTATAAGAATAGTAGATATTACTCACTGCGCACGAGAAACGAGACAGAAGTAAACTGAAATCACAAATTCTCATAATGTCTCAGGGTGCACTTGCACACTGCATTGGTAGATGGCTGTTCTAAATTATATTCTAATAATTCTGTCGGAAGGGCTGGAGCCTGCCTTCACCTCTCCTAGATCCCATTGAAGTGCTGACTACCAATGGGGAAGGATCTCTTCTGAGATCGCTCCTCTTGGAGTCTTCTCAGCGAGCCCAGGACAAGGGTAAGCTTTCCATCCATTGTTCTTTGGTGTGATCAACTGTTCAGCCTAACTTTCTTGTACATTTCTAAATTATAACGTCCATATATTCATTGATTACACAACTGACCACAGCCCATTTCCTCATGCCAAGAGGGAGGAGGTAGAAGAAAGTGGATAGAAGGAAGAAGATGGTTTTAGTTTCCTTTAACTTCCACTGCTCCAGTCTGTTATCAACAGACAAGTTAATCTACCCTGACATATTTTGCATGCCATTGTAATCGGTGAGTGATCTCCATGTCCTTATCTCAGTCCACAAGCTTTTTTCCCCCATCATATTTTCTCCTCCCATCTTTCTGAGGACGGGGAGTGAGAGAGCAGGATGATGATGCTTAGCTGCTGTCAGTGTTAAACCACAATATGTTAACACGAAATCTAAACACTGTGAAGACTTTTGCCCTAAGACAGTACGAAGTCCTACAGCAGATTTTGTTACATAATTCTAAAGAAGTTTTCTTTCTATTTAAAATAAATGGTGAAAGTCCTTTGCAATTTTGTTACATAATTCACTTTGACTAAGGTCACTGAAGACAGAAATCCTGCAGAATTAAGTGGAAATGAAAGGTAACAAACTGTAGAAAATTCATATTAAGTTACACAGTGAAACAGTTTTTTTCAGACATGTGGCTTGCTCTGATGCTGAATTTTAAAGCAATTTACATCTTTCTCAAAACAGTCTACTACGTATTTCAGCAGCATCTATTTAAGATGCTACTTAATAGCTCCTGCAATAGTTAGTGCAGAATTAACTTGTCCCTTTCTCCAAATAGTTTTTCAGAGGACAAGGATTCAAGTGCTATTGTGGAAATAACTTGGGGAAGATCCCTTAAGAACAAGTATGCACAAAGAATAAGCCACCTACTGAAAATTTTCCTAACTATGAGATGCCTACAGGTGCCCGAAGCTGGCAGGTCATACAAATTAAAGACTGTTCTATTAGACTATTCACCAAGAAGCCCTACATTATATATATTTTATATATATTATTATTATATTATATATACTCCATCTTAAGTAGTTTTCAGTATCTGAGAAAAACACAGTTCCCATTTAGCCACCTGTGGGACTACTATATCCACTAGAGGAAAAATACACATACTCACTGTTCAAATACATAGCCTCTGAAACATCCATACCTTCTTAACTGCCTAGTATTTATATAAAGATTAGATCCACATTTGTTTTATTACTGCTTTTATGTCACATGGTCAACTCTACATTTTGTTAACGCTTCATTTCATGTTCACTTCTTATAGAAAGAATATATTAGTGCAGGCTGAAAGCTCCAAAGTATCACATGGCTTGGGAAAAACGAAGACCCAGGGATTATAAAGTTGAAATCAACACCCTTTCAAATAACTGAGCACAGAATTTTTGAAATAAATTTCTTACTTATCTGTTTGTTTGTAATGAGGAATAGGAGGTGGAGGCCTGCTCTTCATTTCTTTATCCAGCACAGAAGTTAAGGTATTGCTTGGACAAATGGATTTCCCTCTAGAGAAACAATAGAAAAGGTTACTTTGTTAAGTAGGAAGTTACATGCATTAAGAAATTAGGGCAAAAATGTTACATTTTAAAGTAGTGGTTGTGATGTCAGTGTTTATATCTGCATTTAATCTATAAAAATATTTAATTTTCATAGAATCACAAAATATTCTCAGTTGGAAAGGACCCCGAAGGATCACTGAGTCTAACTCCTGGCTCCACACAGTAACACCTAAAAATTAAACCATATACCCAAGAGCGTTCTGCAATGCAAGGGCCACCCTTTTTGAACTGCAAGACTCACAAACCTTCTACTACTGGCATGTTTCCCATTCACAGACTCTTATTCATCATTTGGGGGGGGGAAGTAAACTGAATAAACTGAAATTTTTAAACCTTGTCTAGGTCAGTTTTTTACCCTTTCTGCAGCTTCCTCCTAACCCACACTACTGGCATTTTAAGACCAAACTATTTAGCAGCCATGGTACACTAAACTACAATGCTTTCCTGTTTCTATATGAATGCCTCCTCCTCTAAGGAATGTTTGACTGCCTTCTGTGATGTAGAATCTCCTCTAAATACTATCTGCTAATTACCTTTTAGATGGAGAGTAAATTAGCTTGGCCTCTCCATTTCAGAATAGGTGAATAAATGCTACTTCCTGTCTATTTACATTACATTCTATTCAAACTATTTACATTACATTCATAACTTAATCAAAATCATAGAATCGCAGAATTGCTCAGGTTGGAAAAGACCTTCAAGATCATCAAGTCCAACCACAACCTGACCATACTACCCTAACTCTGACAACCCTCCACTAATTTATGCCCCTGAGCACCACATGAAACGGTTTTTGAACACATCCAGGGATGGTGACTCAGCCACTGCCCTGGGGAGCCTATTCCAGTGCTTAACAACCCTTTCTGTATAGAAGTTTGTCCTGATATCCAACCTAAACCTCCCTCAGGGGCAACTTAAGGCCATTTCCCCTCGTCCTGTCAGCAGTGAGAAGAGACCAGCCTCACTCTTGTTGCAATCACCTTTCAGGAATCTGAAGAGAGCAATAAGGCTTTCCCTCAGCCTCCTCTTTCCCACTGGGAAGAAACATTTGTTTGAATGCCTACTTATGACTTTATCATTTAAAGTAACGTTAGCCTTCCCCATACTTCCATTCTCAAAAATACCATTGCATTTGAAACCACTAGCATACACACAAATAAAATAGAGGATTAATAATGATATTTTCAATTAACATATATACCCTCTAAGGTTGTTTACTTTCATATATAGTAAGTCACTGACTTTCTGGGAAACCCAATCCACAGTTGTTATATATTGTATGAACCTTCTTCCTGGTAATTTTATTTGCACCTGTTATCTTTTCTGGCAAGAGAAGAAAGAGAGAGGATGCATTCTGTACTTGGGCTAAGATTTCAGACACCTTAGTGATAACTCTCCAGTACTATTCCCAAAAAGTTATCTCTTACTACTCTTAACAGTCTTATATAAAGACTGCTCCAAAAGTAGTGTTTCCTATTTTATTATGCTGTCCCATGATATTAGAGGCAGATGTTGGTGGGATAGCAATAGAGGTTGAACCTTCCTGCCAATATTCCACTACGTTTTGTTGTTGTGTGACAGATGGTAGGCAAAGGGGCAGTCTGACAAAATGGCATCTGACACGGATGTGCACATGAAGCAAAGGGGTGGAAATCAATTCCTCGGTGAGGATAAAATGCACCCACTGACATTCACTGATGCTAGCTGAACGTGTATGAAGATCAAATTGTGGATGTTAGCACAGTAAGGTGGTGGATGGTGTGTTTCAGCAGTGGTGACAGTGGGTTACTGCCACTGGTACAGTCTTTACGGTGCAAGCAAGCTCTTGTTCATTGCTGGAAAAAATGCATAGCTAATGGTGGTGACCATGCTGAAAAACAGTGTTTTGTAGCTGAGAATTTGCTCTATCAAGTAGCATTACTGTGCCCTTTGTATCTTTAGTAGTTTCCATGGAAATAAATAAGGCAGAGAAGCCATGGGTAATGGAAGAATACTAAGCACAACATGTAACAAATTGAATAAAACCAGTTGAGCTTTCTGTTAGCCCTGCAGAAGAAGCTGTTGTGAAATACTTAAATTTGAAATCTGAGCTATCGCTTATCTGAGGTGTCAATGACTTTTAATGTCTTGAAGAGAACAAAGGAAAAGACAGTGAAAATAACTTTTGGATGAATACACTGAAGAAACATTGCTAGGCAGCTGAAAAATGTTCCCAGTAGAGCACTCACTGTCATTAAGAACATGAGAAGTAAAACTGTAGCATGTTCGTTCTGCACTGCATGCTCTTCCCTAATAACACATGGGAAGGACCAAGTGTGCAGCTTCTCCTAACACCACAGAAGTCTTCCCATGCTAAATTTGCAGCACATGACACCTTTGCTTTTAAAGCATCGTCATCTATCCCATTCCTTTCTCAACGCTTCATCCGTTTCTGCATTAATTTCTCATCATCCCCCAGCCTCCTTCCTTCTTCTTAAGTAAGCTTTTTCAAAAGTGATTCATCTTATCAACCTCCGTTAGCAGAAATGTGGGTTCATGGAGGGAAATCTTACAGAAATGTCCCAACTCCATCACAAGTACTCAAGATTCTAGCTATGCTTCCAAACCAGCAACAGCCTCAGAAGCAAATAATGGCACTCTCATAGCAGGAAAGGTAAAAAAATATTATTGTTTTTATTATTAACTATAGTCAATATCTATAGTTAGAAACTAGTTAAACTGGTTGTTAAAGAACCACAGTTTGACAGTTCTAAACTAAAAACTGATATGTTAAACTAAATAAACCACTCAGTGATAAACAGAATCAAGAAAGTCATGCTTTCTCCAATACAATAATCTTGCTTCACTTCTTCTACTACGAACTTCCTTTTACAGGCCCTCTCCAAGTATCTCCAGTTTTGCTTAGAAATCTCTTGCAGTAACTCCATCTCCCTTTTTGTCTTTTGTCTTGAGAGAGGATAGGAATTCCTGTGGCAGATTCAGATGGAGCAAATAAGTTCCAATAGCAAGCTTCTGCAAAGAAGGTGCAAATTTGGAAGTGAATTCTCTATCCAGCCGTTAATCTCCATGAAAATTTATCACATTTACTATCTTTGACACTTCTCTCAAATTTAGCTCATGACAAAAAGAAAGTAAGTTAGTGCTGAGGCAAGCTTTCAAAAATGTTGTTTTCCTTGCTTTCTTATTTTTAAACTGGGTTTTCCAGAAGATGTACTCGATGATGAGAAATAGAAGTCTATCAAACTATCAATTGAAAACTGCATTTAAAATTTTTAACAGAAACTACTGCATGTTGCAAATTGCACTGCAAATAAAATCATCCAATTAAGTGATAAATCATACAGTTTCTAGAAAACAGAATTAATTACATACTTGACTGCAGTGATAACAACATTACGCTTTGGCTCGTTGTCGTAGCTCACACTTTCAATGCCATAAACCTGAGCTAATTCGTGGATGATTCTGCGGTGATCTCTGTTCATTGGTGGGTAACAATGACTCTTCTTTGTGTACTTGCCCTGAAGTCAAAAGAAAAAATAAATATGATAAGGTTCCCCTTTAGCAAAGAAAGGCAGGGTGTGAGGAGGAAACAATGAAATGAGAAAGGCTGCTTCTGCCTCGTAAATTTTGCCATTGCGACAAAAAGTACTACAACAAAATGCTACTAAATCAGTATTGATAAAAACTCATCTAAAAATGACAATTCAGTTCTCACCTCAAAGCATTAAGACATGTAAGTATGTACAAATTCTGAATACAGCCTCTCTCCTTACACCCCAAAGAAGCAGGACATTTTTTTCTGAATTTTCCTTTTTCAGACTGTTTCTTACAATGCAGATACTGTAGATTGCTATAAAGGCATCAGATTTAGTTATCACTTCCCTGTACCAAAGCAGCTGTTCATCTGCAAAATCTGTCACGTCATAAAGTCTATCATTATAGACTTGATCATTATAGACTGTATCATTAAAGTAGTTTTAATTTCAGTTACCCGAGACTGATGCTTGATCTGACATTGGCTGCTACATAAAAAGAAAAAAACAACAAAAAAATTGTGCCTCCCTCCTAATGGGTGGTGTGACTTAGTAACATCATGTAAGACACTCAATACTTCAGTCTGTCTCAATGGCTCAAAACACCCTGTTTCAGCCTTTGCCTGATTTGTCACCTAAAGGTATCACAGGATTTTAGGCCTACAGACAGGATTCAAGGGGAAGATAAACTACCAGTTTCAAACAAAGTTTGAGTCAGGGATTGCTAGAGAATTCTGAACATGTACAAGCTTACGGGACTGGATGCAGGGCATTTAATGACACTAAGAGACCAGAATCATCTTTGAAAGGTTGTGGAGTTTGGGGTATGAACCTAACGATTGGAAAAAAAACGACTGTTGTGCCTATGCTCAGGAAGAACAAGAATGACAACAAGAACTACAGACTGGTCATCTGCACAAAGCATTTTAGGCACATGAAGCAGAAGGTCCTTGGGAACAGCCAATTTAAGGAAGCTTTTCACAATTTGAACAACCTGGTCTGACTTTATTGTTGGTTCCTGCTACAAGGAAGAGTTTGCACTAGATGACTTCTTTAGGTCCCTTCTGACCTGAATGACGCTTTCTGACAACCCATACTAGACGTTCAAATAGAAACATTTGATTAATATACATTACAGATTGCAGAATGAGAGTTACTCAGTTACATCAAAAAGTAGCCACGTTACAGATGACATGAGAAGTCTTTTCTAAATCACCACGATGCAGAAAAGCTCACTTCAGAATCTAATAAAAGGACAATTTTGATCAACCTTAAAACATAAGGAAATGTTAGTTCCAGTCTGATTTGGTATTGCCAGAAGTAACTTTGATGCAGCACTGTGTACTCTTTATTTTCTGATAGTCCAGGAAACTATTATTTTAAACTTTAACTGGTTACATTAAGCAAAAGAATAAATGCTCCTCAAAATTATTTAAACTGCAGAAATCAACACACAGAAATATCTGCCTCCTCTCAAACAGTAAATTATGAATAGTAAACAGACCGGAGATTGTGGTCACTCTTTTCCATGTTTATTACTTTTAAGAGTAATCATATGCAATCAGGATAGAATCTTTACTTATCAATAAACAATATCAAACTACCTAGCAACTACAACACTTACAGGTTCTAGACAAATGTTTACATGAAGTGAGCTCTACAAATTCTGCGCCTATTTATGACTTCCTTTAGAAAAGTCATAATAATTCTGGACTCAAGAAAAAAAACATCAGAATTTCTTCTTATATGCAGACAGAGCTGGATGATATGAATATTTTCTGGCTTGTCTGCTTATATACATCAACAGTGACAACTCTGCTGTACTAGATTAGTGCATACAGGTGAATCTAAGGGAACAGATGTTCACGAGGCAAGCGAAGTCATAAAATGACAGATGAGTTTAACGGTATTAATGTGTAGAGTGACCATTCAGTAAATAAGGAAAAGAATGGATATCCTTTTCATTGCTCATTTATCCAGTTAAGCTGAAGTTGTATACAAAGAACAATGCAAACACATAAATAAATCAAAGTAGAAGTATGCAAATATATGTAACAGTAATGTGTACAGGACATAACACTGATATAGGCAGAGCTACCTGAACATTTGATAGGCTAACATGCAAAACACTTTTAATACAACAGAGTAAGCTCTACATCTAGAAATAAAGAATGTAAGTCACATCTTCAACCAGAAAGGATTTAGGACATGGGTGTCTAACCTTTTGGCTTGCCTGGAATGCATTGAGTGCACAGGAATTGTCTTGGCCACAGTCACTCCGAAAGTAATGCCTCCTATTTCCATGGAAACTACTAAAGATACAAAAGGGCACAATAACACTATTTGATAGAGTAAATTCTCAGCTACAAAACACTACTGCTCAACACAGTCATCACCATCAGCTATGCATTTTTGTCAGTGACAAACTAGAGCTTGCATGGTGCGCTCATAAAAATCTGTACCAGGGGAGATAACCCACTGTCGCTGACTGCTGAGACACACCACTACCAAGTCATGTGCTCACATGCACTGTTTGGTCTCCATAAATGTTCAGCAAGTGTTGATGACTGTCAATGGGTGCAATTTTTTTTGCACAGACGAATTCAGTTTCATCCCCTTGCTCCATATACGCTTCCATGTCAGTCAGACTGCCCCCTTGCTGTCATCTGCTGCATGGCAATAAAATGTGAGGGAATATTGGCAGAAAGGTTCAACCTCTATTGCTGTTCCACCAGCATCTGCCTCTGATGCCATGGGCCAACATAGTAAAATGGAAGGCATTACTTCCGGAGAAGCCTTCATAAAATGCATAATATGTTTTCAGTGTACATAAGTAACAAAGCTTACTTTAACCTTCAATATTTTTTATTAAAAGAAAAAAGCAACAAAAACACAAAACTAGTGGGATATCTGACCTTGTTTATCTAATACATCAATCACTGGTTTGATGGAAGTGGTTGCAATTTTAATGAGTTATCAAAGTGATTGCCAGAGATTTTTGATGAAATTTTACTCTTCCTGTAGTTCATTCTTGAAAATAGCTGTTCACAAATGTATGTACTGCCAAAAAGCGATAATGTGAATAAGGTGTGACTGCAAAGCGAGGAACGTTTTCCTCTGTTAAGATAGATCTTATAAAAGTAAAGAGGTATGGCCAAAGTTTTAGGTTGAATATATGATTGTAACCATATAAATTCCATTTGAAAATATGCAGGTAGTGTATTATGTTGATCAAAAACGGAGCTGCAAATATGCAAAAAAAAAAGCCATGGCAATCTTGAAACCTGTTCTCAAATTCCTTTATCAGAATAGAAAACACAGCTGCATATTTTTCTCTATTCATACGACCGTATTTATCCAGTGTATCAAAGTGCATAAAATTATTTGCCATAACTTGAGCTGGAACTGCACTGCATCTTCCAACATAAAAAAATAGGAGGCATTACTTTCGGAGCAGCCCTCATACAGCATTAAATATTCTGATGGAACTCCTCAGGTAACTCTTTGGTTTGCCTTCTAAAGACTTCATGAAAGAAGAATACTTAGCCTGCATGTGTATGATATAGACTCAAAAGCTTAAGAATTCCGTCACTCATCTTTGTTCAGAAAAGAAACCTTTGAAACATAATTTGTCTCTTGGGGATTATTTCTACCTCGCACAATAGCAACAGTGTGAAGTGCAGGGCTGTGCAGAACTCTGCCACGTGACCCTAAGCTGTTCATCTTCATCACAACAGAAACTTAAACAGTGAGCAGTTTGCCTTTTATGTGTGGGAGCTGTCTTGGGCAGAGCAGTAAGAGTTCTCAATCCTTGGTGGAGTCAGAACAGGGCTCAGCAAAACTGCTATGCTGGACTTTCAAGGGAGCAGACCTGGATCTGCTCAGGACATTGGTAGGGAAGGTCCCTTGGACCTTGAAGGTACAGGAGCAGGCTGTCCCAGTGTGCTGTAAGATGAGCCTGAAAGACCAGTATGGCTGAACAGGGAACTTTTGCTGAGACTCCAGGAAAAAAAAAGAAAAAAAGAGTTTACCTCCTGGGGAAGAAAGGACAGGCAACCTGGAGAGAGTACAAGGAAGTTCCCAGTATACGAAGGGAGAAAATCAGCAAGGCTAAAACCTAATATGAGCTCAACCAGGCTACTGCAGTAACGGACAACAAAAAACATCTTCACAAATAAGTATTAACAGTAAGAGGAGAACGAAGAAGTACCCTTTACTGGACATGATGGGGAAAAGGACCACTGGGGATAAGGAAAAGGTTGAGGTTCTCAATGCCTTCCTTACATCTGCCCTTAAGAGTCAGATCAGTTATCCTTGGGGTACACAGCCTCCTGACCAGGAAGTCTGGGGTGGGGAGCAGAATAAACCCCTCATGATTCGGGTGGGAACAGTCAGGAGACCTGCTGCTCCACCTGAACTGTCACAAGTCCACAAGGCCAGATGGGATCTACCCAGAGGTGTGGAGACAGCCGGCAGAGGCAATGGTCAAGCAACTTTCCACCATCTCTCAGTGGTCCTGGACAACAGAAAAGTTCCAGATGACGGGAGACCTGCTAATGTAATCCCCATCTATACGAAGGGTTGTAAGGAGAATCCAGAGAATTACAGGCCTTTCAGCCTGACCTCAGTGGCAGGGAAGGTTATAGAACAGGTCACCCTGTGATCACATGGCATCTGTAAGGCAATCAGGCCTAGCCAGCATGGGTTCATGCAAGACAGGTCCTGCTTGACCAGCCAGATCTCCTTCTATGACCAGGTAACTCACCTAACAGAGGAGGGAAAGGCTGCTGTCATAGTATACCTTAAACAAAGTCCTTGATGCTGTCTCGTGCAGTATTCTCCTGGAGAAGCTGGCAGCCCATGGTTTGGACAGGTATACTCTTTGCTGGGTTAAGAACTGGCTGCCTGGGCCAGGAGAGCAGTGAAGTTGAATGGAGTTAAATCCGGTTGGCAACCGGTCATGAAAAGTGCTCCCCAGGGAGTCATTACTGGGCCCATGTTGTTCGGTATCTTCACTGATGACCTGGATGAGGGGACTGAGGGCACCCTCAGGTAATCTGCAGATGACACCAAGCTGGGGGGAAGCAGCTTGGAGCAGCAACTGAAAAGCTGCGCAGAGGAAAAGGATTTTGGGGTGTTGGCTGACACTCAGCTAAACATGAGCCAGCAGTGTGCCCAGGTGGCCAAGGCAACTAATGACATCCTGGCTTGTATCAGAAACAGCATGGCTAGCAGGACCACGGAGGTGACTGTCCCCCCCATTCACATCTGGTGAGGCCACACCTTGAGCACTGAGTACTGTGCTCAGCTTTGGGCTCCTCACTGCAAGAAAGACACAGCAAAGCCCTGGAGCGTGTCCAGAGAAGGGCAATAAAACAGATTAGGGGTCTGGAGCACAAGGAGCAGCTGAGGGAACTGTGATTGTTTAGTCTGGAGGAGGCTCAGCTGAAAACTTATTCTCCACAACTACCTGAAGGGAGGCTGTGGTGAGGTGGAGGTCAGCCTCTTCTCCCATGTAACGTGCAATAGGACTAGAGGAACCTCACGTTGCACCAGGGGAGGTTCAGGCTGGATATTAGGAAAAACGTCTTCTCTGAAGGAGTGATCAGGCACTGGAACAGGGTGCCCAGAGAGGTGGTTGAGCCATTGTCCCTGGAGGTGTTTAAGGAAAGGGCAGATGTAGTACTTAGGAACACTGTTCAGTGCACGATATTAGTGGTAGGTGGACAGTTGGACTAAATGGTCTTAGAGATCTTTTTGAACCTTAATGATTCTAGGATCCTTTAGGTCAGATAGGGAAAGTATTGTCATGACTGATGTGTTTTACATTTTTCATTCTTTTCTGCATTAGACACTTTCATTAGACACTCAATCTGCTTTGCAGAATCTTAACAGTCGTTTATTGTCACGGTTTTTTGATTTTTGTTGTTGGTATTCCACATCATAACAGCACATAAAGCAGTGGGAGTTAAAGAACTGATGTTCCAGTTCTGCAGACCACTGTTTCTGGCTGCTTTGTTCATGGAGGCCTGAAGGCAGAATTATGCTTTTACTAAAAGCCTATGATTTTGCCTGTACTATAGACCTCTGTAGGTATGCTGGAGTCTGCCAGATAACTGTGGCTGAACCCAAGTTTCCTTCTAGAGCGAGGAGGACTACCACATACATCAAATGCTGGAAAGCATCCATAGATTTACAAGCAACTTCTGCAACAGGGATCAGAAGAACCTAGGGCTTTCATTCTCAAAATCTGAATCTCTGACCTCTGGAGATCATTGAGTCCAACCCCCTGGCTAAAGCCTAGAGCAGGCTACAAAGAAAGGCAAGTTTTGAATACCCATCTACTGGACATCTGCCCTTTAGATATTTCTAAGTGTTGACTGGATCCCCCACCCTGTTTTCTCAAGGCTAAGGACTCCCAAGTCTCTCAGCCTTTCCTCCTAAGAGATGTTCCAGTCCCCTAGTAATCTTTACAAGACTCCACACTGGACTCTCTCCTTTAGGACTGATGCGCTGAAGTCTGGAACTGTTTGAACTTTAAACAAAAAACAAAACAAAAAACAAACTACCACTTTGCTGTGACAGAAGTGATCCCAATACTGTGCATCCTAACTTTTTTCTGTTTATACCAAAAAATATGCATTCTAATAGAGTCAAAAAATAGTGTTAATTCTTACTACTAACATTATCCAGATTCCTCCAAAACTGGACAAAACTGCTCCTTTTAATAACTCAACAAACACCCAAATACTGACCTTATTCACAGCTTCCACAAGCATTCTCATCTCCTTCTCAACGTCGCTGACAAATTTTAAATCTTTCCTGCAAGAACAACATACTAGGTAAATGAGGCAACTGAATGTACAAAGACTTTATTTTTTTTAACATTATTTTTACCAACAACAAAGTTAAAGATCTCAATTAACTGAGGCAAATACAAGAGTTTAGACTGCATTTCAGTTTATACACAACTCAATTGGCATTTTAAAAACGTCAGCACTATTATGAAAATCTTGAATTATTTTCCTTCCAAGCCTTGGAAGACAGCATAAAATTCTACAATACAGCACAAGTGTCTGACAATACAACTCTAAATTTTCAGATCAGTAAAATGAAGGTTTTAAATCTGTCATTTCAGTGGTTTTTCAACCACTTGTCATTAATGCAATCCACGGGTATTACATGATTAGACATAAAAATAAGTACTGGTTTTAAAGAGTCAAATTCTTTTCCAAGATAGAAAAAGTGCACTGGCTGGTGAATTAACGAAAATAATAGAAGAATAAGACTAACTGCAAGGAAACAAAACATTCTTGATATGACATCTTCAGGATTTTTGTAATTAGTTTGCCCTAATTAATCACAGTAGATTGAATCTGTCAGAGTGAGCTTTACACTCTCTTTTTAAATGAGCAGGTAAACTAACTTCAAAAGTAAGGTTAACATTTGTTAGCACATTATCTTCACACAGAAAAAGGGTACCTGAAGATTTCCAACTCAAAGTTAGCAGTAAATAAAGTTACTTCTTCAAAGGCACCACTTCAGAGCAAAACATTATTTCATGAATTACGTCTGAATTTCAGCAGACAAGACATGGATGCCCTACAAAGCTAGATGCTGAAATGAAGGCACGATCCACTTCATATGATCAAGTGGTCTCAAGCAAATATGCAAAATGACAACATTGAGTTGCTTGTCTATCAAAATCACTAAATCAATGGACTCAGATGCTAAAATGGACTCAGCCTATCATTGGAAAACTTTCCAAGTTTTATAACAGGTCCCCATTCATCAAATGAGTACCACGTTGAATGGAGTTATCAGAAATCCTGAATCTTCAGTTGAGAGAAGTATTATACGACTCAGAGAATTCCAAAAAACAGACTGTCGGATTTAACCCTCAGAGTTAGAAATAAAGGTCACTCCAGACACCTATCTATGAAACAAAGTCAGCAGATGCAGCACGAGATGCAGCATTGGAAGAAGTGCTAACACAAAAATCAGTAGCTAAAAAAAGATCTATTCAGAACATACTTAAATCCAGACTCAGAAAGTAAATGAATTAAATGACAGCCATGAACATTCAAATTTTAAGATGAAATGTCCACAGAAGAAAAGAAAATGGAAACAGCAGTCCAATGAGATGGTCTACAAGCACCCGAAATGTCTTTAAAAAGAAAAAAAAAAAAAAAAAAAAAAAAAAAAGAGCACCTGTAAAAGAGTTATTAACTGAAAGTGACCAGCAATATTAAACCAAGTGAGCACTCTTTCAAAAAGAAATTCCAAGACAGTCAAGACTGAAGTAGTCAGGGGAAAAAAGCAGATTTTACCAGCTGACTGAGAATGTTAATTCCCTGCAGTTTAAATGAGTTGGTGAGATGAGCTGTACAGAAACTAATTTAATGGGCATCATCTAAAACCCATAGTTTTACTACTTCCCTAAAAAGCAGAAGCTGGACCTCACTACCTTTTTGGCTTGTTACTTACTGTCATTTGCTGATGACACAAAACCAGGAAGAATGACATGCCAGAAGGCTGTGCTGCCATCCAGCAAGACCTAGACAGGCTGGTGAGCTGGGCAGGGAGAAACGTTATGTTTCATTACAAGGGCAAGTGTAGAGTTTTGCATCTGGGCAAGAACAAGTCCTGGTACCAGTACAGGTTGGGGACTGACCTGCTGGATGCAGCACAGGGGAAAGGGACCTGGGGGTCCTGTGGACAGCAGGATGACCACGAGCCAGCACTGTGCCCTTGTGGCCAAGAAGGCCAACGGCACCGGGGTGTATTAGAAGGGGTGTGGTTAGTAGGTCCAGAGAGGTCCTCCTCCCCTCTACTGCGCCCTGGTGAGAACGCATCTGGAGTACTGTGTCAGTTCAAGGACAGGGAACTGCTGGAGAGAGCCCAGCACAGAGCCACAAAGACGATTAAGGGCGTGGAGCAGCTCCCTTATGAGGAGAGGCTGAGGGAGCTGGGTCTCTAGTTTGGAGGAGAATGAAGGGTGTCCTCGTTAATGTTTATAAGTATGTAAAGGTGAGTGTCAGGAGGATGGAGCCAGGCTCTTCTCAGTGACGTCCAGTGATGGCACAAGGGGCAGTGGGTGCACACAGCAGGTTCCACAAAAATATGAGAAAACTTTCATGGTGAGGATAACAAAAGACTGGACCAGGCTGCTCAGAGAGCTTGTGGGGTCTCCTTCTCTGGAAACATTCAAAACCCACCTGGACATGTTCCTGTGTGAACCTAACCTAGGTGTTCCTGCTCTGGCAGGGGGATTGTAATCAATTTCAGACTAATCTAATTTCAGACCTCTGCCACTAAGGCTGACAAAGCAAGATTTCCTTTAGAGTTTCAAGTTTTCCTTTTATGTCATGAGGTGAAGCTGTGATGAAAAAATAAAAAGTCTCTTCTCAATTCTGCATAGTTTTGTCTACCCAAATTTGGCAGCAAGCATCATAAAACTGTTTTAACTTAATAAGTAAAGGGGAGTGCCAGGTCAATATGCAAGGAAGTACATTCTGTACTGCAAGCTACAGAAAAACATGAACTCACACTGAAGGGTGGGAAGAAGCATGGAGTTAACAAGCAACACTGGCAGGCTCTGATGCTAGCAAAGATTCTGAAATGCCAAGAATAACGAATCCATTAGGAGATGTTAGTTTAATGCAGCAAGATGAAGGCTAGGTGAGATTCAATTGTACTCAAAAGAAAAAGAAAGAGCATACATGTGGGAAATATGTGCAAGATATTTAATGTAGTAAAAAAGTGAAAATCTGTATCTCGGTTTCTGACAGAGAACAGAATCATGATCGATTTTCCATCTTGCTCTCTAAACTGTTTATTTACAACACCCATCACCATTAAAATACATACCTGGCATCTTCTTTTAAAAGATCACTGTACTTTGGTCCAGAAGAACGAGTGTTAAAAGGGTCAGAATTATCATCTATTTCAAGAGCATCGGCAAGGCGCCTAAATTCAACAGTAGGAGAGAAAAAAAGCAAAAACAATAAACAAACACATAAACAACAAAAAAAATTAACCTGGAACATTTTTTCACTGAACAGATGAGTTACCATTACAAATAAACAACATGTAAAAGATCAGATTCTATACATTTGATACTAATATTTAGGACTCTTCAATATACCGTACTACTAAATCTCAGATAGCTCAATACAGATTCCTATTGGTGGTGAGTGTCGTAAAATCCAACTGGCAACTGATCACACGTGGTGCTCCCCAGTGTCAGTGGTAAGACATGTCTTGTTTAGTATCTTTACTGATGACCTGGATGAGGGCATTGAGTGCACTCTCAGTAAGTTTGCAGATGATACCAAGTTGGAAGGAAGTGTTGATCTGCCTGTGGGTAGTAGGTAGGCACTGGATAGACATTATTGAATGGCCAATGGGATGAAGTCCTGTACTTCGGCCACAACAACCCCACACAACATTACATGCTTAAAGCAGAGTGGCTGGAAGTCTGTGTGAAAGAAACAGACCTGGGGGTGTTGGTTGACATGAGCCAGCAGTGTGCTCAGGTGACCAAGATGAATAATGACATCCTGGCCTGTATCAGAAACCGCATAGCCAGCAGGAGCATGGAGGTGATTGTCCCCTCCAATTCACATCTGGTGAAGCCACACCTTGAGCACTGAATACTGTGTTCAGTTTTGGGCCCCTCGCTAAAAGAAAGACATCAAAGCCCTGGAATGAATCCAGAGGAGGGCAGGTGAAGCTGGTGAGGGGTCTGGAGCACAGGCCTTATGAGGAGCAGCTGAGGGAGCTGGGATTGTTTAGTCTGGAAAAGAGCAGGCTCAGAGGAGACCTTATTCCTCTCTACAGCTATACCTGAAGGGAAGAACCTCCAGGGGAGGTTCAGGTTGGACATTAGGAAAAATGTCTTCTCTAAAAGAATGGCCAGGCATTGGAACAGGTTTCCCAGGGAGGTGGTTGAGTAACTGTCCCTGGAGATGTTTAAGGAGAGGGTAGATGTAGTACTTAGGAACACTGTTTAGTGCATCATATTAGTGATAGGCAGACAGTTGGACCAGATGATCTGGGAGGCCTTTTTCAACCTTGGTGATTCCATGATTCTGTAACACAAGAATCACCTCCACATTTGTCAGTTCTGTAGGTCATACAGAAAATAATTTTTTTCCCACATTGCATTGACTTATGAGATTTGGAGTTTTTTGGAAAAAGGCAAGTAAAGTTGTTGCCCACCTGTTCCTCTGAAGAGCTAAACATTCTTCATCGCATTGCAACCTGAATTAAGAAAACAACAATTAGATTCACTAAAAATAAAATAAGTCCTTTTAGTCATTCAGAAAGGAATGCTAACAGCAATCTGAGGAAATTCAGATGAACTCCAAAGAATTTGGGCCTCACGGACAAAAAGTTGAAGTTAGTAATGTGCCTTTGCAACAAGAAAAGCTTATGGTATTCTGAGCTGCATTAAACAAAATATCGCCAACACATCAATGGATGTCATCCCTCCCTTAACTCAGCACTTGTGAGGCTAATCCTGGAGTACTGCATCCAGTTTTGGGTTCCTCTGTACTACAGATATTTCAGCATACCAAAGGGAGTCCAACAAAGGGCTGACTGAATGGACTGCAGTACTTGTCCTGTAGTAAGAACGGCTGAGAGAACTGGGGCTGTTCAGACTAGAGAAGAAGCTTGACAAAGATCTTAACAATTTATCTAAATCCCTCAAGGGATGGTACAAAGAGAACAGACCCAGGCTCTTTTCAGTAGTGTCCAGAGCCAAGGCAGGAGACAATGGGCACATAGTGAGACACAAGAAATTCCTCCTGAACATCAGGAAATACTAATTATGTGTATGTATATATACACACACCACACACACACATACATAATATACATATATACTAATTACATATATATATATATAAATATATATAGGTGCAGGTGACTGAGCACTGGCACAGGTTGTCCAGAGCAGCTGAGCAGTGTCTGTCCTTAGTGCTCTGGCTCTAGACTCTAGAGCAAGGAGTTGGGACTAGCTGACTTTCAGAAGTCCCTTCCAACCTCAATCATTCTGTGATTCTGAGTCTGCTGAGAGAAACTCTGAAACTAATACGATGTTCAGTATGTAATTATAACAAGAAGCTAAGGAATGATAGAGAGCTCATTCTAAAAAAAAAAAACAACAAAATATTAAAAAAAAATAGTAAAACATTCTAATAGCAGTATTAAAGTAGAACTAGGTTATTAAAAGTCTTTTAACCAGAATTCCACTGATAATACTATGCATTTTCCAAGTCACTTACTCTTCATGTACTCACAAGGATTTCATATTTCTACATGCCTGTCCTTACCTGGCCTGCTTCATTTCCTTTTTTGTAATAAGTCTACTGATTTCCACTGAATCTCCAAGCTGCAGATCCGTTAACTTAGTGGCTATAGATATAGCAGCTATTCTGCAAAAGAACAGTATTAGTTTTCATTAGATCTTGGAAATAGTATATAAAGCTCCACACTTAGATATCCAGATAGAAGAAAAGCAAGCATACTTCCTTGTAAGATTACAGAACCGAGATCTAGTTCTAAATCGCCTAGTTTATCTACTTATATAGATTAAAAGGTACCTCTCTCTCATGCAAATAACAACCTTGCTTCTTTATGAAATTATTCAGAACAACAATTCTAAGTCTGAACTAGACAATGTGAATACTCCTTCTTACTTTCTTAATACTAAAACTGTATCTGAACATATTGGTTTAACAATACTTTTTAACTTTCCTGTGATTCTTCTTTATCTGTATGCAACTAAAACCTGTAAATTTATAATTACTTTGAAGTTTACCTAGAAAATATGGCTGATACAAGCCAAAAGGAAAGAATGAAATGCCTAGTGAAAATTCAAATTTTCTTCATAAAAATTCTTCATCGTTCCCATTAATAGCAAACTTTTCTAGTCTCATTTTCTAGCTAAAATTTCTACAAATAAAATACACAGCACATTTTAAAGTGAAATATCCCGTACGTCTCAAAATCCCAGATCTAAAATTCTGGTCTCTGAACTGTCTTTCCTGATAATTCTCAGATAAAAGGATACGTTCGTCTCCAAACTTCACATGACATTCAGAAAACAACTATTCACACATCAAGAAGAATGATCATATGACACTAAGAAAAAGCAGCATTGAGATACACTACCAGCTTCAAATTTATCAGGCTGTGACAGAGAAACAGGCCATCAGATGACAGGACAACAACATCTATATCACATATACAGACAGAGCTCCAGAGCCCCTTTCCCGTTCCCTTGGGCACCCTTTGTGTGATATTAAATAGCTTTGAACTTGGTAAAACACTCTCAGTAACACTTTCGAGAAACCTGGACACTCTATTAGCTTGGTGAACTCTCCACAGCAGTACCACGGGAGCAGTTTGGTTTTCTGTTTAGTCTCAAAAATGAGGATGGTGGAAAAATGCAAACCTAACTCCCATAAAACTGGAGTTTTTTAATGTTTTGGCGATCTGAACAGTTAGAGACACAAAATTAGCAAGCATTAAACGCTGTTTTTGCTAACATCACACGGTTAATTTGTTGGTAATATCAGTCAATTGAACATGTGTGAACCAAGAGATACAAACACTTTAAACTGAACGCTTTGTTTCCTTCCATTGACTTGGCTTATACACACACTCTCACTGACTTCACATATACCATCTTCCCTACACGAGTGTTTTCGGAGTGCCTGAGCCTCAGAAATAGTGGAAATATAACAGGCTTCAAAGACACAAACTTGCAATGCAGTTACCATCCAGCTTATCGTCAGTGACAAGCCCATGCCAATTCTAAATGATAATTCAATGTTGAGCCAATCTTTTGGCTTATATTAGTAGTGGGAAAAAAAAAAGCACAAAATTCCTGTAAGTCTACTTACTATTGTTTCTTAATGCTTCTGATTAATGCATTTTCCCAGAACTAAGGAACCTATTAGGTAGATGCTAAGCCACCTTCTGAAGAATTTAAGTCTGGGCATCAATCAGTAAGAAAAGCAATGCATCCTCAGCTGGGATAGTTCCTCAAATAACAGAGCTGAAAAAATCATTAGGAAGCTTTCTTTGAAAGACAGGAAGCATCTACATCTACTCTCTCCTATAAACTGGTACGTAGAGCACAGTTTTTGTTGCACTTCAACCCTCCAAATTATTTTTTCTATTCCTTCTCAATTGAAGAGTAAAAAGGAGTTTTTATTGTCTCTATTTTGCTATTTCTATTCCATAACTTTCGAAGTTTGACTTGATTCTTGTTTTCCTTGTCCCTTCTTTGCCCTCTGACATAAGATAAAAGTGCAGTTTAGAAATAGGATTTAGAGACCAATTTATTGGGAAAAAAAAAAAAAAAAAAAAAAAAAAAAGTTAGGTAGAACACAGCTTGCATATTGAAAATCAAGATTTAGACATTAAGAACCAAAGCTCTCATTACAGTCCATGAAATCTAAAAAGTTATTCAACTACCTAAATTTAGCTGCCTATGTCAGCTTTATCACTCTTTAAATTCCATCATCTGCACTGACCAGGTTCCATCAGACATCAATGGGAATTTTAACAGCAACTCACATGTGGAGTGTTAGATACCGTCACCTACGTTCAGATGTCTGAATTAGAATTCCACAGATGGAAAATCCAAGCTGTGACATGCCAAGACAGTTACAGACTGACAGCAAATAGAGAAACGTGTCGCAGAACAGCATAGCTGATATGGCGGCTCAGAGGAACAGGGAAAAAGAATCTGTAGGCGTTGAGTGTGAAAAACTTCATGAATGGAATATATTGCCAATACTGAAATCCAATCAAACTGCAAAGATCTAGTAAAAGAAGTAAAATAATTATCATAGTACAAACCTCTGATATGTATTGGATGCTTCTGAGCAAATCATACTCTCCTTTCTTCTTCCACATTCACACTGAAGTTCAACCTGTTGCATTACACAAGACAGCAGCTGGTTTAAACTTTTTTTTTTCCTTTTTTTTTTTTTTGTTCAGGGAGGGAAGTGAGAGAGGTGAACTGTACTCCTACTGGAATACTTTAATACTGAAATACTTTAACGATAAATAATTCTAAAAAGCAAAAGAAACAAGCTCCATGACATTACTTGATATTTGAAGTTATAAGATAGCATGACATTTCTGGTATTAAAAAACAATAACTTTTTGTCAGTAATGTTTTTGGCTGGTAGGTAATCATACTACTTGTCAGTGAATTTGCAATTAATTTTCACTGAGCATCTAACCTTTGCACAGCAGGATGTTGTTGGGCAGGGCGAAGAAGGATGACACGGAGCCATACAGGGATGATTACAATACAGTCTTGGAATAATACATGGCTGTTTACACTCTTCATCTATAAGACATTCCCCTTTATGACAGATTCTTTTACATTTGTGCATTCCACATTTTAACATTTGATTGCAGCGAAGCCCGCAGGAAATGTCAGTGAGATGACAGGGAATATTGCTTCGCAGCTGAAAGAGGGCAGAAAGACAACACGAAAGAAAATCAGTAATTCTAACTGCAAATCTCAAAGCACTTCTGTTGTTAACACCTTTCTTTGGCATTATCCACACAAGAAATGTAATACTAAAGTACTTTGGACAAAGACAGCGTTCTTTATGTCACAGTCCATTAACATCAGTTAGTATGAATACACATGGCATAAAAGATAAGACTTTTCCTATTTAATCGTATTAAATACCAACTCCAATAATATATTCCATTCCAAAGAAGCCGTGAAAATACAACTCAACAGTCTTAGAAGCTGAAACATCACCTGGTTATCCCTTAAGTTACATAAACATAAAAGTACACCCAGAACATCAAGAACTATTTTCAAGGGACACATTATTAAGAATACAGAAACACTAAGACTTACTTCATGTTTGCCCATACACCATTTCTGAGTGAGATAGGTACAGGGTGGACACTTCTCCTCACTATGACACGAGTGGTACACTGCAGCCATAGATTAAAAAACAGTTTTATTACCATACTTCAGCCAAACGCCTTAAAAGAGACACTATGGATTATTACATATGAGCTGGTCATTAGTACACAACTAATGGGAGGAAAGATGCTTCATGCAGGGATCATTTGTTCTTTAAAATAGTCTTTGAAAATTACAATGGCAGATTTTTAGGTGAATAGTCTTCTGCATTTTCAAAACTAAACAGAGAATAGAAAACATTTGTAACTTCTGAGCAGGATTACACTATTAGACAGAATATAACGAAGCATATCTGTCCAACCTGTTAGAGCACAGGCTTTCAGTCAGTGTAATTTCAAGGAACTCAGAAACCAACTATTCACTACTGTTCACTAGATTATTCTACTCTTTCAATAGAGCATGTTCTCTCCAATTAAACGAAACATCCAATGCAAGCATGACCAACGCATGGCCTGCAGGCTGTATGCAGCCCACTCCCCGCTGTAGAGGTGGGAGCTCTTCACCATGGGTGGCTCCAGGCACAACTCATTGCTCAACAACCAAACTACCAGCGCACTGATTTTTATGAGCTTGTGTGCAGGCTCTTGTTCATTGCTGGTAAAAAACACAGCTAACGGCAGTGACTGTGCTGAAAAACAGTGTGATTGTTTTCTTTGTATCAGCTGTAGTTTCCATGGAAATAAATAAGAGGCACTATTTTTGGAGAAACTCATGGATATGCAGCACAAGACAATTCCTCAGCGCAGCCCAGGCAAACCAAAAGGTTGGACACTCATGGTTTAACGTGTTGTGACTATTAATGATGCCTGAATGTTGCTATCTGGATCAGAAAGAATAATGCGTTGTTTTACGAGTTATAAGTACCACTACAGTTACTCATGGCAAAGTTTTAGTTAGTTTTGAAGTATCTTTTGAAAATATTAAGCCACTGCAAAAATAGCTAACAAAAGCGTAATTTTTTTTTTCAAACAGACCCATGTATGTACTATGTTTTGATTTTTTTTTTTTTTTAAATGAATAGCTTGACTTACCTGGATGATCACAGTCATGTGGCCTGGTGCATGTTTTTTTGCACTCTGGTGGCTGAGTGCCACAAGGAACAGGGGGGTAAATCACTGATTCCCCACAGTAACAAGTCAACTCATCAAAACCTGAAAAAGCAAGTCACAAGAGATGTAACTCTGTATCTGTACTTCCCTAAGAGAAATTTTAAAAGAAAATGCAAATGTTATATTCTGGCATCTTTTTTTTTTTTTTTTTATACTAAGAACCACAATAGTGAAATCACCGCCTCCTGTGCCTCCCACAAGATATGAAATGGACTACAGCCATTTCATAACAGCTATGCTTGCTTTTAGAGAGTGGTCTTTTGACAACATCTTAAACTGTAGCAGAAGTAGTGCTCTTGTAAAGTAGAAAGCTGTTCTTGTTCTATCATTGACTCAAAAACAGGGAGATATCTTGAATTCCCTTTCCAAAAGCACAGCATCCAAATTTTGCCTCTCACTCATTCAAAATCCTTTCTACGGCTTGTTTTCCTTCTTTACATATCTGACTCTATTCTGGATTGGAAGAATCTAGTCCGCATTTCTTTCCAGCTCCTGCTAATTTTGAATTTTCATTCTTTTAGCATTCTCTTGTGTGTGAACAGATTTCACCCTTTTGCCCAGACCAGCACATGGTGCTGGGAAGATTTCAGACAAAATTATCAAAAGAGCATCACTCTGTAGAATTTGACGTAGAATCTCTTCTGTATACTTCACGCCATTTAGCGCTATGTGGATCCTCTTAATCAGTTTATGAACTGATGCACCCAGAGCTTGGTACTGGGGCTGCTTCTATTTAACACCTTTACTAATGATCTTGATGAGGGGATTGAGTGCACCCTCAGTAAGTTTGCAGATGACACCAAGTTGGGAGGGAGTGTTGGTCTGCCAGAGGGGAGAAAGGCACTACAGAGGGACCTGGATAGACTGGATCAATGGGCCAAGGCAAACTGGATGAGTGTCAATAGGGCCAAGTGTCAGGTCCTGCATTTTGGTCACAACAACCCCAGGCAACCCTACAGGCCTGGGGAGGAGTGGCTGGAAAGCTGCCTGATGGAAAGGGACCTTGGTGTACTGATGGACAGTGGGCTGAATACGAGCCAGCAGTGTGCCCAGGTGGCCAAGAAGGCCAATGGCATCCTGGCTTGGATCAGGAATGGTGTGGTGAGCAGCACCAGGGAAGTCATCCTGCCCCTGGACTTGACACTGGTGAGCCCTCACCTTGAGTGCTGCATTCAGTTTTGGGCACCTCAGTACAGAAAGGACACTGAGGTGCTGGAGCAGGTCCAAAGAAAGGCAACAAGGCTGGTGAAGGGCTTGGAGAATATGGCCTGTGAGCAGAGACTGAAGGAACTGGGGCTCTTCAGTCTGGGAAAGAGGAGGCTGAGAGGAGACCTTATTGCTCTCTTCCAATATCTGAAAGGTGCTTCAGCGAGAGTGGGGCTGGTCTCTTCTCACTGGTGACAGGAGGAGGGGAAATGGCTTTAAGTGGCACCAGGGTAAGTTTAGGCTGGATATTAGGAAACACTTCTTTAGATAAAGTGTTGTTAAGCACTGGAATAGGTTCCCAAGGGAGGTGGTTGAGTCACCATCCCTGGATGTGTTTAAAAACCATTTGGATGTGGTGCTCAGGGACATGATTTAGGAGAGGGTTGATAGGGTAGTATGGTTAGGTTGTGGTTGGACTTGATGATCTTGAAGCTCTTTTCCAAACTAAGCAATTCTATGATCTTCACAGAAGGAGACTCCACAACCTCTCTGGGCAACTTGTTTCAGTGCTCTGCTACCCTCACCATAAAGGAGTTCTTCTGCACAATAGTACAAAACTTCCTATGATCAAGTTCTAGGTCATTATTCCATGTCCCATCACTACACAACATGAAGAGTCTGGCCTCATCCATATGCCTCCCACCTTCCTTTAGACATTTACAAACATTTATCAGATCCCCTCTCAGTTCTCTTTTTCTCTGGCTGAACATACTCAGGTTACTCAGCCTTTCCTCACAGGAGATGCTCCAGGCCTTTAATCATCTTTGTGGTCCTCCACTAGACTCCTTCTAGGAGATCCCTGTCTTTTTTTGACCTGGGGAGCCCAGATATGGACACAGTAGTCTAAATGTGGCTTCACCATGACAAAGTAGAGAACCTCCCTCAACCTGCTGCCCACACGCTTTTTTTTAATGGGCCCTAGGATACCACTGGCCTTCTTTGCTACAAGGGCACACTGCTGGCTCACGGCCAATCTGCTGTCCACCAGGTCCCCAGTCTATCTCTGCAGAACTCCTCTCCAGCAGGTCACCCCCTAACCTGTACTGATGCATGTGGTTGTTCTTTTGGAATAATTCTGAGGTCTTTTCCCTGCTGCTTCCTAGAGTGACAGTGTCCCCTGGCTCTTCATCATTCAGAAATACATCCCCTTCCCTCCCTGAATCTAGTTCTAAGCTTGCTAATAAATCCAGCCAGCCTGCTGCCCAGAACACTCTTGCCGCACCTGGTCTCTCATGTCACACAATGTCAACACGCTAGATCTCACAAAGGTGAGATCTGATCCCACAGAACCCCAAACTCAGAGCGTGGTATCAGCTCCACAGCCAATCATTCACGTTATCTTTTCTTCCCCTTCCTGAATTCCCACCTTGAACTGGGAGGAGAAAGGAGAACACTACCTGCGCTTCTGATCCATTCAACATCTTTCCAAGGGCCACCAATTCTCTTTTGACTACCTTTGTTCTGCCTTCACTAGACTGAAGTTACTGAAAGGACCTGGCCGATTTTCAGGTTAATATGTTGCTTTTTTAAAAGAGAATGTTTGGACACAGGCTGTGTCACCTGGGAAGAGTACAGGAATGCCGTCCGGACTTGCAGACGTGGGATCAGGGAAGCCAAGGCGCAGGCAGAACTGAACTTGGCAAGGGACGTGAAAAACAATAAGAAAACCTTCTACAGGTACATTGCCCAGAAGAGACAGGCCAAAATGGGCGTACCTACTTTGGTAAATCTAAAAGGAGAACTGGCTTCAACAGATGAAGAGAAAGCTGAGGTGCTGAATGAGTTCTTCACCTCGGTCTTCACTTGTGGCCAGGATTCTAGTCTTTTTCACGTCCCTGAACCCTGCATCACCAAACCTCTATGTGGGGACCAAGGAGGTAAATCCCTCCCCACTGTAAGGGCAGAGCAAGTCCGAGAGTGCCTCCTTAGACTGAATGAATACAAGTCTATGGGGCCAGATGGCGTGCATCCCAGGGTCCTGAAGGAGCTGGCTGAGGTGGTTGCCGAGCCGCTCTCCATCATATTTGAGAAGTCGTGGCTGTCAGGTGAGGTCCCGGATGACTGGAGGAAGGGTCACGTCACTCCCATATACAAGAAGGGGAGCAGGGAGGACCCAGGGAACTACAGGCCGGTGAGTCTCACCTCCGTGCCTGGGAAGATCATGGAACAGATCCTCCTGGACAACATGCTCGGTCACATAAAGAATGAGCATGTGATCCGAGACAGCCAGCACGGCTTCACCAAAGGAAGGTCATGCCTAACTAATCTTGTGGCCTTCTATGATGGAGTGACGGCAATGGTGGACGAAGGAAATGGATCCAAGTTGAAGAAGGGAAGATTTAGGTTGGATGTTAGGGGGAAGTTCTTTACTAGGAGAGTGGTTAGGCCCTGGAACGGGCTGCCCAGGGAGGTTGTGGATGCCCCGTCCTTGGACGTGTTTAAGGCCAGGTTGGACGGGGTCCTGGGCAACCTGATCTGAATGTGTATGTTTGGTGGCCCTGCCAGGCAGGGGGGTTGGAACTACATGATGCTTGGGGTCCCTTCCAACCCGGGTGATTCTGTGATTCTGTGTGATTCTGTGAATAGAATGAAAAATAAACAGATTTAGCATCTTCAAGTTCCAGCGCAAATTTTCCTTCTGATTCCCTAAATGAGTTGTGTATGGCAAAAGAAGGTGATGACAGTGCCTTCAAATCACATACAGGTGATAAAGAAGGAAACAGGCTTACCCCTTCCAGCGACGAGTGTTGACTGAAAAGGAGTGTTATCTTTACCCAAAGATAGCCATTCCCTCAGCTGTTAACCTTTAAATGAGAGTGAGGAGGAGTGGATCCAGGCTCCCCCCCTTCTGGTCACTCAGGTGTGTTGCTTTTACCCGAGTTCCCTGGGTAGCCACCTGGTGCTTAACCATTGGTTCAGGCTGTGACCTGGCAATTTCACTGCATTCCACCCTTTCACAGTACGAACCAATGATTGATTGATTGGTTGGGGGTAAGCTACTGCTGTTTTGGTGACCCGAAGTGCAATGCACATTCAGTCCCTGGCATTGTATAGGATGTTAAGGCACTGAAGGCGATTGCTGACAGTCTTTTTGTTGTTCTGTTGGGCCAGTACTTGATTTCTTTGAAAAAGATACACCTCTAGAAAAACTAGTAGCCACTCAGACTTGCACTTGCTGGTTTAGGTAAATGTTGGGGAAGTTTTTTGCTTAGAGGCTGTTGAGATGCTGGAACAAGTTGCCCAGAGAGGTTGTGGATGCCCTGTCCTCAGAGGTGTTCGAGGACTGGCTGGAGGGGGCATGGGACCTATTCTGGTGCTTGATCTAGCAGTTAGCAGTCCTGCCCATGGCAAGGAGTTAGGGCTAGATGATCTTTGAGGTCCCTTCCAACCTAAGCCATTCTATGATACCAGATTCGGGACCCTTGTAGGCAGGAATCCACTGTAATTAATGGGTCCACCTTGACAGATCCTTGTCTTTGTCACCTGGAGGAGAGAGTTGACCTTTAAAATATCTTCTTATTTCTTCCTAGTGGTTTTGCAATTGCCGGGTTATGACTTCACAGAAGAAAGAAGCCTATTGATTTTATGGTTTAATTTTGCTTTTCTTTTGTGCCTTCCCACAGGACACAGAACATAAATGTTCTTTGGTTTGTGGTCGCAAACTCAACTGTGGACTTCATAGATGTGAAGAGCCTTGTCACCGGGGCAGTTGTCAAACCTGCTGGCAAACAAGTGTGTACAGTGCTTTTTTTCTTACATGTTATAGAAATGTATTCACTTTAATTGATCAGAGTTGGACATAGAATTTGATCAGAGCCTGAAGATCTGTAGTTTGCTCTCATTGTTTTGTTTTGTTTTTTTACAGTGGAAAAGAAAGTTATTCTATTTTAGATGAGTTAGTAACTTTATTAAATTTTACTTGAATTAAAGTGAAATATGTTCAGTTACATTGATCCAGCAATCGCTTAAACTTTGAGGACAATCATGCAAAAGTAAAAATTAAAAAAAAAGTTTAGAATGTCAAAGTTGATGGAACTCTTCTGTTGACAAGTTAGTAAATTTTATAGGTACTGGAATATATAGCAAAATCTGTTTAGGTGTTTAAAAATTAGACTTTCCCATGTTGGTGTGCTAGTGATTTTTCTCTAGACGGACTGTCTGTGGAAGTAGATGCCAGTTGTGTGTCATAGGCTTTTTGGTCATGCCCTAGATGGTGGAAGTACTAAAAAAATTGCTTCAAATAGATAACCATGAGGTACTATTTTGTTATGAACTATTAAGCTACAGATTTGAGCTGATGCAGCAGCTTTATCTGAGTGCGTACTCTGTTAAAGTCTGTGTCAGATTAAGATACTAGTTTTCCACAACTGCTTCTCTCCACTTGATATAGGAAACCATATGACCTTTATAATAGTGAATACTAAGCTTTCTGATCTTGGCCTGAAATGGAAAGAAGAATGCTTTTGTATTTCAGAGTGCATGCTGGTAGGACCTTTCTTTAGAAAACAAATCTTACCGTGTCACAGAATCACAGAATCACCCGGGTTGGAAGGGACCTCAAGGATCATGTAGTTCCAACCCCCCTGCCTAGCAGGGCCACCAAACATACACATTCAGATCAGGTTGCCCAGGACCCCGTCCAACCTGGCCTTAAACACGTCCAAGGACGGGGCATCCACAACCTCCCTGGGCAGCCCGTTCCAGGGCCTAACCACTCTCCTAGTAAAGAACTTCCCCCTAACATCCAACCTAAATCTTCCCTCCTTCAACTTAAAACCATTTCCCCTAGTCCTGCTGTTATCAGCCCTTTGTTTTTATTCAGTATTGTTTAGGCTGCACTTGCAATATTGTTTCCAGTTCTGGGCTCTGTATTAAGAGTTACATTGGCACACACAAGGGATTCCAGCAAAGGATTGAGAAGATTATGAACAAACTAGAATCTCTCTCCTGTGAATAAAGGAGAAGAAAGCTGGGACTCCTTAGACTAGAGAAGAGGAGGCTTGGGAGGGACCTTATCAATTTATGCAGGTCCCTAAAGGATGGAGCTACACTGTTAGTAGTGCCCTGTGCCAAGGCGAGAGGCAATGGGCACAAACTGAGACATGGGACATTCCCCGTGAACATTACTAAATATTCATTGACTGTGCAGGTGACTGACCACTGGCTCAAGTCACCTACAGCTGCTCTGGCGTCTTCATTCCTGGAACTTTTCAGCTGCTGTCTGGACATGATCTTGGGCAAGTGGCTCTGCGTGGCATGGCCTGAGAAGAGGCCAGATGACTCCAGAGGTCCCTTCCAAACTCAACCATTCTGTGATTCTATAACTGTCAAAACTATATACTGAAAAAAACAGCTCAGGCCTGACACATACAACTTTTCATCACAGCAGGTATACACCACTTTCAAAGTTTATCCTGTTAAGATTCCAATTGCGGACTTAAAACTATAATCTATGATGGAGCTAAGTAATATCACACCCTCTCTCATTTTCCTTGGAATCAGTGAACCAACAAAAAGTATCTTTACTTTGATTTTAAAGATTATAGAATCATTAAGCTTGGAAAAGACCAACCATCAATCTATCACCGCTATGCCTATGTTCTCAATTGCCACATCTACGTGTTTCTTGAACATCTACAGGGATGGTGACTCCACTAGTTCCCCGGGCAGCCTGTTGCATCACTTGATCATTCTTCCAGAGGAAAAAAAAGTTTCCTAACACTGAACAAGAACCTCCTCTCACACAACTTGAGGCCTTTATCTATCACCTTTAACTGTATTTAAGCTAAAGCATGTTTTTACAATGCCCATAAAATGAATTTTGCAGAATAAACGCACACACAAACTTTTGGAGCATGACTTGTACTGGAAACAGAGATTCAAAATACACAGAAATGCAAGGGCATAAAAGCAAAAAGTCTTAATTTCACAACAAAACAGAAATGCTTCATTACAAGCAGTTTCTATAAAACCACACTGGGCTTACCACACAGCAAACTTCATTACACTTGTGTCGTCCACACGACCTCTTCTTGTTGCATCGCTTGTCGCACATAAAGGTAATAGCAGCTATTAAAAAAAAATAATCGTGACATAAGTCATGATTTGCTGTTTGCTCACACTGAGAATAAAAGCTTAAGTCACAATATTAGGCTAAGGATGTTCTAAGGTCTGGTCTAGAGAACAGCAGTGTGGGAAGTTAGTGCACAAAAACATACATTAGTTGCACTTCCGCATTAATCCCCCAGGTAAACACTTGCCTTGCTTTAAACAAGCCCTTGTTCAAAAAGATTTTTGGAGAGCAGTTTATTTCACATTATTCTTTGTACCATAAACTCTGCAAACAGAACAGACAAAATAGGACTTCCCGATACACTGATTAGACCACAAATAAACTTACTACTATCCTCAAGCAATGTGAACAACTATTTCTGAGTTCTTAAATGTTTTTACATCTTCATAGCTAGAAGTTCAACTTAGGAAATATGCAGATTACTACATTACTGACCTCGTACTGAGTCCCTCAGTATGACAGGGATCCATCAACTAAAACGTCTGTAGATTGAGATTCTTCAGTTTTAACAATTAAACAGCATACGAACTGCTCCCAATATCAATCACTAAAAAGCAGGATGAGCAATTCTTTGTGTACGCGGTAAATATCTGAACTCTCCAAGCAAGTATCCACATCTTGCTAGAGGGTAAACAACCAGCACAAAAGACAGGCAAAGGCAGCAAAGACTACACTTAGAGAGCTCCTCCAACAGTAGTTTAGCCAGTTACAGTGGATTACTACTATGGTGCAGTTCACTGCTGTTTCAGGTCTCCTATCTTTGTTACATAAATGGAGTGGTGGGAATGGCTAGAAACATCCATTCATTCGTTCATTTCCCTTCCCTAAAGTGATCTCTCTTGCTCATCCACAAGATCAGCAGATACCAGAGGGTGCTCTATGACTATTTTTGTGTTTACAGGGTGACAGCACTACAGTCCCACATAGAGTAGAACTGTGACATCCTTATGTATTTACATTTAGCAGCTCCATGAAATGTTGCCATAATCCAGCTTATAAAACAACTCCTGAGGAAGAATTCTAGTCAAGTGATGCTGACAAAATAATCTTATAATCAAATCCTTTAATTTGATATGCAGACAAAATCCAAACATTCACTCCTGCTTTGATTGAAGGCCTTTCAGAACAGAGTTTTTGGAACAGCTTTCAGGACTTCTAAGTCTTGAAAAACATAATCTGCTTTATTTAACATAAAATACATTAAGTCTCTCTAAAAACTGAAAATATAAAACAACAAAAGACATATCACGATAAAGAACAAATTGCCAAGGAAAATCCTGAACAACCAGAACTCAAAAGAATATGAGGAAAAACTTAAGTGAGCTCAGAAGTTCTACCACCCTCTGAAATTTTGTAGTAGAAAAAAAAACCCACCCAAGACAGAAACATACAGTAGAGATACAAAATCAGCATCAGAAATTGAAGATGACTATTGAATCGCATATTTGGCAACTTCTTGAGTAAAAACCAAATCTAATGAGCTGTCTCATTAAGACTTCAAAACTATTTCATATTATATACTGAACAAATTATAAAACAATACTACCTTTATTCCTGAGTAGAGCACACGGGACTTCCTAGGAAACAAACAGGAAGCAATTATATTGCAACAACTGCAACTTATTCATCTACAAAGTACCTAGTCACATATGACAACAAGTTTTCAGGTGCATAACACTCTAGGACACAAGAAAGGAAAAAGCTGGAAAAATCCTCATCAAATTTATGCATTAGTTCATGTTTTAATCTACATTTTTTTAATCTTGACATTTTAACACTTGACTTTTTTCCCTAGAAATTCAGTAGCAAGAGTTTGTAGTTTAAGATTCCTCACTTAACTCAGTGGATAACACTGTGAAGTAACACATCTGTCCTGGGAAACAAGAAACTTGCATTGAGAAAAACTATGCCCTCCTCAAGTGTACTAATAAAGTTTAAATTTGTGCTTTGAACACTTGTTTCAAAAAAAAAAAAGAAAAAAGAAAAAAGACTGACATTTTTTTAAACAAAAAGTCAAATCTCATGACTGAAAATTTTTACTCAGATAAAATACTTAAACATGAAAATAAAAAGCTCCTGAGATAGTAACCAAAGATTTCAAAGCTATGGTTATGCACAGTATACTTTTAAACTAGGCCACCAATTACTGTATGACAACTGGTGAGGTTCTGCTGTTTCATTACATGAAAGTACAAAGAAAGACTAAAAACCAATATCATCTCCAAAATTTCCTACAAATCTGTAGGCTATCACTATACATTATTTAGCTTTTCCTCTACCTTTCTCTTGTTTACATTACTCTTGGTAAAACTATCATTCTCTGCACCACATCATTACTGCAGGACAATACAGGCTTTGCAGCCAGCTTAAACAATGAAAACTCTATAAGTACTGCAGTAATCCTTCAGAAATTGTATTCATGGTAACTAGCCCACACTGGCCTTTCACAGCATATCTAGCTGATGTCTATCAGTTCTAACATAGCAGACACCCCTGTAACTACGGAGGCAACAACACCTTCTTACCTTCCTTTTCTCCACAGCTTAAAGAAAACAAAAACAAAACCAAAACCCACCAACTACCTGTTTTCCTGGTCAAGCTCTATGCACTCACCTTTTTTTTGAAGCCACACCTACAATAAATATTTGATGTTTGAGAACATGGTTTACAGTCTCCTTCATGGCACAGGCTTTCACATGTATGAAGCAACTCTATCAAAATTAAAGTAAAAAGATTAAAATAAATAAAATGCATGATCAGTAACAAGATATTTATCAGGAGCACCACAGTTTGCAGATACCAAGCCTACTGGCAGCTGGGTTTCCATTCTGACATATGTGCTCAAACAGACAAAAGAGTTCAACGATTTCACAGTTGCTTTTTTTTCTATTATTTGGAACTTTATGATCCTGAATATGTAGACTAAACAGTTAAGTCTGCAATTAACATTGATAATGCACAAATACCTTATACATATTGTATGGGAACTGCTGAGTCACGGCCTGAACCTCTGATTGATCACCTGAGGTGAGCCATGAGTCAGCCAGAGGAGCACAGGTGAAGGCAATTCACCTGTGCTACCGGAAGGGGTGGAGCCAGGCTGCACCCCTCCTGGACCTATTTAAGAGCTGGCTACCAGAGGGGAAGGATCTCTTCTGGAGATCCTCCTCTTTGATATCTTCTAGTGAGCTCAACCTAAGGGTAAGCTCTTCTACTTATTCTCCTTTGTGATCCTTGTTTGCCTTACTCTTTTGATTATATTGCAATTATAACATCTTGGTTATACAGCTTTGCCTTACTCTTTTGATTATATTGCAATTATAACATCTTGGTTATACACGTATATTTTAAATTTGCAAGATAAACATCTTACACAAGTTTCATAAATTTTAAGTACATAATTCTTCCTTCTTGTTCATCCTAAATGAAGAAGACTTATGCATACCTTCATCTTTCACTCCCTGAGTTAACTGCAGTAAATCACACTTCAGTGGAATTTCAAGTATAAGAAGGTATGATTAATTATGTGGTTTTATAAAATTGAAGTGTCATACAGTCTCAGTTAAACATACTTTTATTTAATTAATGCAATCACTGAAGAGACTATTTAGTTCTGTAAATAACTTCTTCCTTTCAACTGCCCAACATCACATTTCACTGCATGGCCTAATGCCACACTTCTCTTTGTGGCCACAGTGAATGAATGCTTAATAACAGCATCTAAAAGTTGTAAGCGAAGTCATTTATCTCTACCAGTCTTCAAATCAGCAATGAAGATCTAGGCGGGCTTTTAAGAGACACAAACAGCAAGAAATTCCTACAGTTCCACCAGTATGAAAGTCTATGGAAACAAAATTTTAGAACTCGCTATTGTAGACGATTCCTTTGAACAAATACAGCCTATCTCACAAGCTCTGCAGTAGCACTCGTACTCAAATCCTTAAAAATACCTTTGACATGAAAGTTGTTTTTTTTAAAAATAATGTGAGATTTTTTTTGATACTCTGATACAGAAAGTTCTCATTACCATAGCTACCACAAGAAAGAGGTTTGCCACACGTTTTTCCACATGATGGGATAGGATCAGTGCATATTTTACGTTCAATACATCCTAGTTCCAGTAACTTGCTAAGAGGAGTCTGACCACAGGGACAGCGATAAACTACTTGTGGAAGTCGCGGACAGAGTTGGCAAGGTTGAGGATGGCATACTTGTGTGCAGTTGTGCCTCCCACAGTTTAATGTTCTGTGAAAAAAAATAACAAAAAAAAAGGGGAATTACAATGACATGACCACTAAGTATGAACAAAATGACCTCTCATTTTTCAGAAGCCTAAATTACAGTGAACTTACTTGCCACACGTATTCTGACACGAGAAACTCCCAAATCCATCATAAAATTCTTCCTTTGTCCCACACAATACTTCTTTGAAGTTTTTCCCACAGTAACACACTAAAAGAAAGCAACGTTACACAGAAAACAATAAAAGTATCAGTGACAAAACACAGCAACAGAGCAAATGCAAAATTGTGAGATGCGAAAAACAGTCCTTTTTTTTTTTTTTCCTAAGTACATGAGATTTAATTCAGAGATGTCTCAATCCTACAGATTCTGAAATACCACTTTTGTTTTGATGAGACAAAAACCAAAGGGGAATCTATAGCTTCACAAAAAGCTTTCATACTGAAGTAGTATACATTACGAGTTAAGTATTATTTAAAAATGACAAGAAAATGAAAATATTTTTTGAATTATTTATTTAGAAAACTGTATTTGCTTTAGTATACTGGAACAAGTATGATATAGTTTCCTTTCCACAACTGAGTTTAGAAAATTTTAAGCAGCACTCATGAGTACTTCGTTGAAAGGTGATTTGTCAGTCTCTATTCTTTTTCCATAGTGTTTAAAGTCTTGGAATGATGTAATCTTAAGTAGGATCATAGGTCAATTCAGGTTGAAACAGTCAGCTAATCCAAACCCTCAAAGCTGAGCCAGCAATGAGATCAGATCACATTACTCACTGTTTTACTCAGCTGGGTCTAAAAAAATCCAAGTTCCCACGTACACACAAAATGTTTTTCGTTACAACCAGTTCAGTTTAGCCTGTTGTCTTGTCCTCTTAACATACATACACAGGCTGGCTCCATCTTCTTGATAATCTCCTGTTAAGCTACTGAAAGACTCTGTCCTTCCTAAGCTTTCTCAACCTAAAGTAACTAGTTCTACCCATCTTCACGGAACGTGTGTTCCAGCATCCTAAACCTCACAGCAGAATTCTTCTAGCCATGTTCGTATTCCTATTTTAATATATAGCAATTCTAATTTTCCAGTCTTTAAATATTCTAGCAACAGATCTTAACTCAAAGTAAAGCCCTGCCTCATGGCAAAGTCCTCTTCCTCCCCACCTCTTGTTTTCCTAGTATACATATATCATGGAGGAAAAGTGTAAGGCATTCTGATACTTACCTTGCTGTACTTTTAGCTGGCAAGGTAAACATTCTCCTGCATGGCACACCTGAGTACATCTGTGCTTGCCACAGTTTAAAGTACTTCCACATACATTAGAACAATGAATTTTTGTTGACTGGCCACAGCGAACTGAATGACTGCAGAAGAATGACACCACATTCTGTCAGCTATCTTAAATCCACAAAGAACTTACTGAAAAGCATAACAGACTTCTGTCAACAAAATGGGGGAAAAAAGACATATTTTGAAACTTGAAGTATGGCTACGCATTGGGCCAAGAGCAGATATTTCCATTACACCATTACACAAATCTTTCCTAAAGCTTTAAATGATCTGAAGTCCACTGGGTACAATGAAGACAGTGATATGAGTATTAATAGTGATGCAGCCTACATTTTTCACAACTAAGAATACTCCCCCCCCGCCCACATCAGTGTAGCTTGAATTTAAATCTCCCAGAGATTGTAGCTGCTTAATCAAGGAAAGGCAGAAGAATTCAAGTTTAAGCTTTTTTGTTTGCTTTTACCTAGGATGCATGCGAATATAACCAACATAAGCTGCATTTTATTATAAAATATTCCGACTCTAAAACTCAAAAATTTCCTGGTCTTTATACAGTTGCAACAACTGACTTTACCCACTATGAGATGTGCAAAATAGCAATTTGAAAATAACTTGAAGTTTGAGGTGCATCTTGGATGCTGATACAGCACGTATGACAAAATGCTACTTAGAATGATGTTTTAAATGTTAAATGCAGCACTATTAAAAAAAAAGCAAACAGCAATTTGCATGCATTTGGGAAAAACAGAATTGCCTCTTCTTTTACTAACTATTCCTTACAATTCAATGAATCAATCTTACGTAAAATAAAATACAGTTATCTACAATTTATCTGTTTTCCCCTGAAGATTAAGTGCCTCCACCTGCGAATAGGACACAGGAATAGGAATGCTAACACTGAATATGTTTTTTTCTTTTGATTCTGAAAACGAACATGGGCAAATATTTTATTACATAGAATCAGTCATAACTTCCTCTCAGAGCAACCGAGCATGAAAGATCACAAAGCATGGGCAGTACAGTCACGCTGCTGAAAATGACAACACATGCATCAGACACGCAAGAAAAAGACAGCCTTCAAGACTGGAATAAACAAAAATTATATAAACATTAATTATAGCTCAGAAAAGAAACACTACTATTACATAAACTTTTGTTTCCATAATAGAAATATTCTCACCTTGTTTGTCCACATTCACATGTTTTTGTCACAAAGGCTGGGCATGAAGGACAAGGTCCTGGATGACACAGGCTTAAAAATGAAACAAAAAAGCAAATGAAATTTTAAAGTAATCTCTACATTTATTACACTCCTGGGGAAATAAAATACAGTTACCCCAAAAATACAGAGAAGTTTTAGGAACCAGTACATTCTCAAAACTCTGGATGCATATAGTTTACTCCTGCAGGATAAGAAATCATTTTAAATCATATAAAAATATTAGAAATGGTTATAGTTGCATCAGTCTCAAAAGTTTTCAGACAGTGAGGCTGAACAAAATATTCCATACTGCTGTTGCTGTCAAGTCAATAACGTCGCTGTTATGTATTTCACATCCTGCATTTCAGCAGATGGCCTGCATCAGCTCAACTGTGCCCATTGGGGTAACACTCCAATATTACATGCACAAATCATTAACACATTCACTTCCCTCAGCAAAAGTTCCCTCACCAAATTTTCCCTGCTACGGTTTCTTCTAACTTAAAAAATAAAAATTCTTCATGGATTGATGGACTGAAGATGCATGCACTCACACACTTCTTATTTAGCAAACAACTACAGTATGATTTGGTTTATGCAGAAGCTATAGTAAAGACAGACAGTGCCTCCACATTTTGGTGTTTTTAAAAGTGAGACAAAAAATACACTTAATTAATGTGTTTGAAACACAATAGAAAATGCAATAAGACAGCAGAGCAGCAAGATCCCGGGCTGCAGCCAAGTGAGGATCCGCTCAGACGTGACAGCATTAAGTCCAGAGAGAAAGCAGCTGCTTACCTTCAGAAAGCCTGTACAAGGCTCCCTGGACACACAGACATCTCCAGAGAGATACCCTTGTCTCCACTGCCAACCCTTGAATGAGGTCTGGGAAGGAGTGGATCCTGGCTCCACTCCTTCAGGTCACTCAGTGCATTGCATGCATCTGAGCTCTCCTGGGTTGGCCCTGCCTTTCCATCAGGTGCTCAATCTCTGCTTCAGGCTATGACAACATTTCCGTTACAGCATTACAAAGTGAATGCAAAAACAGATGCTGAGACCTCAGTATTATGTTCTGTTCAGTGCATTCAGAGTCTTACTTTTATTGAAACTTCATTATTTGTCACTAGCATGGATGATTTTTTCACAAATGATTGCTGGTGCTGCTCCAGAGAACTAACCTACTAGAAGGGTTGGGAGTAAAGGTACAGCTAGACATAAGAAAAAATAACCTATATCTATCTGCTTAGAAGTGTTTTATTTGATAATACAGCCCAAAAGGACTTTCCATAACTGTTGTGAAGATTACAGCACCAAAGACCTATCAGGAAAGACCAGACAGTAAGGTTTAAACTAACAGAGCACGAAGTTTCAGTTACTGCCTTTATAAGAACTTTTTCAGGTGTCCTCAAAAGGCACAGCACAATGCCAGTTGGCAGGGAAATTTCAAAGTCTACACAGATGATTAACTCTTAAAAAAAAGCTGAGGTTTGTCATTACGTTTATTATTTGGAACATTTTATTTCATTTTAAGCTAGATGCTAGACTGATGAAGAACCCAAAAATCTAAAATAGTTTTCAGCATATTTAAATGTGAAGAGAACTAATTTTCTAAAGCATGCCACAGCTGACACAAGCAAATTACTCTCATTTTGAGGAGCTGCTTGCCTGCCCACTGAGCTGTTTATACTAATTATTTCAATAACCTAAGCAAATATTACTCACAGATTCATTATTAAAACACAGTAAGTTAGCCTCGCTCATTTTCACCAAAATGGATTATTTAACGCCACATTTATGCAACAATCCAACTAAATTTTGTCAGTAGCATACTGAAATGCTAACAGCATAGCAAAAGTTAAAGCTCAACCAATGTGATAGCACAGGAAAATAAAAAGCCCAGAACACTATGGAAAGTAGATTAACACAAACAATGTCACCTACACCACTGCACTTAAAAAAAAAAAACAAACATGCATTGAAAATACATGGTTGGGAATCAGTAAACTATTAAAACAAACATATGTGCAGCCAAAAAAAATTCCATAATATGAATTAGTATTCAAAATAGCACTTCAATACAAAGCAATTATCAAATGGATAAACAGATTGGAATAAATTGGCTGTAGACAAAAGTAGGCTGAAGAAATGCTCTCTATAACTTAACTTTTGAAAGAAGAGCACAAATTTCAGACATCCCTTACAATAATAAAAGAGATGGCAAATCCTGAAATCCAAAACCACCAGGGTCACAAAAGCTAAGGAAACACTTCCGATTCTAGCTGAAAGAAAACATGAAAGATGTGTACAGGTTATAATGGGAAAAACTGCCAGCCTGGGAACTAAAAGTATCCTTGAGAAGATTCGGGAAGAACCCAGGGCAGTCCTACGCAGACTTATGCATTTATATTGAAGACATAAAATAACTTGCTATCAACTTATCATGTCCAGCTTGCCATTCACCTGTATTCAAAAGTCCTTTTCAGCAGGGCTGTGTTCTATTCTTTCACACCTTGTATTGATAGTGGAGGGGCTGCCACAACCCAGGTGCAAGGCCCTTGGATTTATTGAAACCTGTGAGGTTCTCCTGGGTCCACTGCTTGAAACTGCCTAGGTCTCTCAAGCTCACCAGACAGCTTGGTGTCTGGTGCAAAATCAATCCCACTGATGAAGATATTAAAGAGCATCATTCCCAGTATCGACCTTTGAGGGACTCTACTTGTTACTGTTCTCCATCTGGACATTAAGCCACGTAAATCTGGACACTGACTATCTGGACATTCACCATCACTTACTGGGTTAGATCTCACAATCAGTTCCTCATCCACTGAAATGTCCATCCATCAAATCCAAATCTTCGCAATTTAGAAAGAAGGATGTTGTAACAGACTATTTCAAAAGCCTTACTGAAGTCCAGACAGGTGCCATCAGTGTCTCTTTGTCCATCAACACAATTATGCCATCATAGAAGGCCACCAGCTTGGTCAGGAAGGACTTGCCCTTGGTGAAGCCACATTGGTTGTCTCTTATCATCTCCCTACCTTCCATGTGCCTTAGCACAGTTTCTAGAAGGATGCACTCCATGATCTTCCTTGATGAGCCCATCAGACTTACCTCACTTCTTGTCTCAACTGGGTTGTCCTTTCTACCATTCTTAAAAACGTCTGCTACACTGCCTTTTTTCCAGTCACCAGGGGCTTCACCCCACTGCCATGACCATTCAAATATCATCAAGAGTGGCTTAGTGACTTCATCAGTCAACTTCCTCAGGACTCTGGGATGCATCTTGTCCATGTACTTATGGATGTTCAGTTTCTTCAAGGGATCATGAACCTGATTTTGTTCCACCAGTTGCTATCTTCCATCCTGTTCACTCAAAGTGTTTATGGAGAACAACTGCCAGTGAAGACTGAGACAAAAAAGTTGCTGAGTACCTCAGTCTTCTCCTTGTCCGTTGTCATCAGTTTGCCTGTACTGCTCACTAGGGAGCTACACCCTCCTGAACATTCCTTTTCTGGTTTACATACTTGTAAAAGCCTTTCTTCCTCTTTGCACTCCTTGCCAAGTCCAGCCTTCCTGACCCATTCCTGCACAGCTAAGTAGCATCCCTATACTCTTACCAGTGTACCTGGTTTTCACTGCCTATGCACTTCCTTCTTGCTCTGTAGTTTGACCAGCAGGTCCTGGTTCAGCCATGCCAGTCTCTTGCCTTCCTGACTTCCTACGCCTGGGTAAGGAGACCTCTTGCTCCCTAAGGAAAGCTTCCTTAAAAAAGATGTGCTATCTCTGCTCTGCTTCCCTGTCTTTGAGGATAGTTTCCAGGGAGTTTTGTTGACTAAGTCCCTGAAGAGCTGGAACGCAGCTTTCCTGAAACTTAGCATTCTGATTTTGTCTGTTATCTATCAAGAGGGTGAACTCCATCCCCGCATGGCCACTACAGCCCAGGCAGCCTCCAATCCTGACATCACGAATCAGTTTACTTGCATTGGTGAGCAACAGGTCCAGTACTGCAGAGGGGGATGCAAGAGGGGATTCCTCGTAGGGCTATCTATTACTTAAAAAGTTAAGCTCAGTGCATTCCAGGAGCCTTCTGGATTGACTGCAGCACACAGCTATTTTTTCCAGCAGGTGTCAGGATGGTCGAAGCCCCCAGTAGGAGAGCCTGCATTTGCAAAAGCCTCCTGTAGCTGCAAAGAGGCTTAAGTTTAAATCACCATTACAAAGGCTAGACTATAACACCTCCTGTGCTCTGCACCTCTCATCTATATGCCAGATAGAGGAAATACAAGCATCCTACTACAAAGCTATGACAATAATGTTCCTCTAATGTCACATATGAGGAGAAAAGGGAATGATGTTTGCACTGGAAATCCTGGTATCGTCTCATCAATTAACTGTAGTGTTGATAGACTACCTGTGGTTTTTGAAAACCCAGGTCTGATCAACTGGAAGGCAATACACTAAAACGGTCTTAAAATGGTAGCACCATGTACTTAACTGTAAAAAGGCTCAGAGAATAGATGGGATTAAATGCTGGAAAAAAGGGGCAATATTGTGAACATCAAAGACTCACGGTGGACAGATCGTTTATGTTAGTCAACCACTTTTTAATTTGAGAAGAGCATGCATAGTTTACTCCTGCAAACTGATCCTCACTTTAGAATATAAGGTGAAAGTCTTGACAGTAAGATGAAAACAGGTTTAAAAAAAAAAAAAAAAGCATTTAAGGTCTCATTGAACAGAAAGGCATTTGTGGTCCAAAGGTCCAAAAACCTAACATCATAAACCTTGACTTCCTGCAGAAGTCTGTGGGAGCAAACCCACAATCTAAATAAATACTAGACAGTTTTCTGAGAGCACCTAAACTCATGCAAGCACAATAACACTGCCTCCTAGCCCAGATGACAAGTATACCTTTGAGAACCCTCTTGAGAAAAACTCGTCTGGACATAGATCATGATCTAGACCTCTACATCCACTGAAGTCTTCAAGCGGAGGATACAGAATGATGAACTACTAACGATCCATTTAGATGATAAAAGTTTCACACCTCTAACTCAATCACTCTGAAGCAGTGAGAGGGAACCAGGTTTCTCTTCGTGTTTTCATAGAGCAGATGGTGGTAGAGTGCATCCTCATTCACACTACAATTACCACATGAAAAGAAGTGTCCAACATATACTGAGGGCTGGAGCAGCTCTCCTATGAAGAAAGGTTGAGGGAACTGGGCTTGTTGAGCTTGGAGAAGAGAAGGCTGTGGGAGACCTCATGGTGGCCTTCCAGTGCTTGAAGGGAGCGTAGAAACAGGAGGGGGAACGGCTGTTTGTGAGGGTGGATGGTGATAGGACAAGGGGAATGGTTTTAAACTCAGACAGGGGAGGTTTAGGTTGGATATGAGGAGGAAGTTTTTCATCCAGAGGGTGGTGAGGCACTGGAACAGGTTGCCCAAGGAGGCTGTGGCAGGCATTCAAGGCTAGGCTGGATGTGGCTCTGGGCAGCCTGGTCTGCTGGTTGGTGCCCCCACCTATGGCAGGGGGTTGATACTAGATGATCATTGAGGTCCTTTTCAACCCAGACCATTCTGTGAGTCTATGATAGTTTCAAATACTTAATTTGAAGAAGTAGAGCATAATATATTTTGTAACTTGTTTTTAGAAGTAGCTGACTTGAAAAAACATAGAAATACCATACTCTTTAGTAGCCTATTTTAGAAATACAGTTGTTAAATTGTCATATTATGTGATTAATTCTTGCTTGCAAAACTGTTGTTAGATGTTGTGAATAGTACAGATGTAGTATTATAGACTAGATAATATGTTGAAGGCTACTTTGTTTTGGTAAGAGACCCTCAGAGAAAGAGTTTTTAGATGCTGAAACACAATAATGAAAGCCAGAGCCTCCACACAAGGCCAAATTGTCTCTCTCTAGGATTACATCAAGATACTCTCTGCTTTCCTCCTGATCTTCTACACCCCCTACACCCCAGTGTACATAATCAAAAGACAGGCTGCCAATCTTATCTCTATCCAAGGACAAGCAGATGTCCAGAAGTAATGAGCAAGTGCCAAGTGGACAACTGTTATGATTTCAGTACCCATACATTACTTACAATAGGCATTCTCCCACAGAGCATGTGTTGATGAAGAAAGTTCATCTAGAGTACAAGTGAGGAAGATCCTTGGATGAAGTAAAAGACTGGTGGTTGGACTGTCATAATGCTGAAAGGACACTAGATGGTGGAGGAGACCACAGAACAGAAGACTAGGAGCCCTCATAAATCACAACCTGACATAGGCCTGTATATGTTAATTGTCTCATGCGTAATTGATGAATATGTACTATCTTTGGAAATATAATGGACTTTGAATCATGTAATATTTGAAGTGCTGATAGTAGAAACATCCCCAGTGCTTCTCAGCACTGTAATTAACATACCTGCTTTATAACCTTATATGAGTTGTAAAGTTTAGTTCCACGCATTGCACTGAAGCTAAAAGTGCATTCCTCTACAGACTATAATCACAAGCCAGATAGCTGCCCAAAAGACAAAAAGCATCCATTCCACATAACAGCATTTGCAGTAAGAGATAAAGAACAAAGCACATTCTTTGCACCTTTGGTCATTTCCATACCTCCAGGGACTGGATAATCTCAGCATGGCTTTACTCATGTGGAACAAGCTGAACGATAACATTTGAAACTGGGAGCAAATCAGGACTTTAAAAGGTACCTTCACAGCTCTTGACGCAGATCAGAATGCCACGGAGTACAAATACACAGCTTGCAGAGACACAAAACTATTGCCATTGATCAAAAACTTCCCAGATAAGAAAATGAACAACTAATGCAGACTGCGACAGGAAAGAAGAGAAAAACAACATCTGTTTCTTCTAAGCACTGTAGAAAGTTCGAAAGTCAGCAACTGCAGTCTGGATGTTCTCAAAGGACTTAAGGCATCTACTTCTTGCAGACCAGTAATAAAGGTCCTCCACAGACTCACACCTCTCCTGAGATAGATCAGGATTCTGCAAGAGAATCAGTATTTCACTGAATCAGAGTATTAGCTAGATCAAGTCTAGTCTGAAAACTGAGCTGTGTTTCAATCACCAGCACTTCAAACCCTACCCTGCAAACCACAGTGAAGAACATCTAGTATGATCCTGAACTACAAAAGCAGCACTATCACTGAAATAACAGTCTGAAAAGAGTCCTACTATAATATTCTCCATATGGGAAAGAAGTATTAAACAATAAAGAAACATTATTTCATTCCGGATTGAATGATTCAATCATTCAATTGATTGAATCATTCAAGACTGAAATGGCTATTCGTAACAGTGCATGTGAAATAAAAAGTTCTATTAAAGTTCTGATTTGGAGAAATTGTAAGATCTCAATGTTAAAAAGACTGAAAAGCTTTTGATTATATACCAGAAGTAGAAAAAAATTCCTTCTGACCATTAAAAATTTCTCAAAACAGAATACAAAAAAGCAGAAGAATGTATCATTCACTTTTATACAATAAAAAACTGGCCTAACTCAGTTAACTTTACAGATATAATATTATCTCTGTACTACCAAAAAAGATCCAAGTAATACAGCCAAAACTGAAAATCAAACTCCTCTTTTTGCCTCACTTCACTGAAATATGACAGATCAACTGTCACGTTTGGATTTTGTGTTGAGGGACATGGTTTAGTGAGTATTGTTGGTGATAAATGGATGGTTGGACTGGATGATCTTGAAGGTCTTTTTCAACCTTGGTGATTCTGTGAATTGTGTCAAAACAAACTAATTCAAGATACAGAGAATGATTAAGATCTCCACAAGGATTATGTTTCAGAAGTCTGGCGGTCTGAACAAATAGTTAAATACATGAAATGCCTTCTTAACCTCAATAATTTGCAAGGTAAAGAAAAGAAAAACAATAGAATTAAATGGACCTCCAGTCAAAACAAGAACCACTGCTGGCAGATTGAGATACACGATTGTTTCTACAGAAAACAAAGCATCTAAAATTTCTGTTGACTACTGGATACACATTTAATTTACTTTATTTCACTATTTTCTTGACTAGAACAATAGCTCTTGAAACAAGTTAAGCTGTAGGTTCAGTTCCTGTAATATGGAAATGCTGCTACAACTATTGGAGCTGACCTCCTGCCCCTCCTCTGCTGTGAACTCACTTTACACATACAAATAACCTTTGCTTCTTTCCCCTTTTCCAATCAGAAAACTTCATCAGACTGCCACAACCTTTCAAACATGACAGGTAGTGTGGCTTGGCAACTTCACCTGCCAGTTCCCTCAGAACCCTTGGATGGATCTCTTTGGGTCCCACAGATTGGTGCACCTTCAGGTTCCTTACATGGTCTCAAACCTGACCTTCACTCACAGCAGGCATATCTTTCTTCTCCAAGTTCTTACCTTCACTTTCTGCAAAATAAATTCTCAATACGTTCACATTACAATTACTTACATATTACATAGATGTGGACAATCCAAACACTGCCTCTTCTTTCCACAGAGTTCCCCACAGCTATGTGGAATTTCATTTCTATTCCATTCTGGATTGTGTACCTTACCTAAAGAAAAGGTCAAAGCCAAAAACATGTTTACTGACTTGAGTGCAATACTGAACCTGGGAGAAATATCAGACCAGAAACAAGTAGTTTCATTGTCAACACTGATTTAAAAAAGGCTTTCTTTGGGGGGCGGGGGGTAAAAAAAAAAAAACATGAGATGTTATGCTTTTTTTCTTTTTCCAACTTTTATTGCTGATGAGTACTTAACATCATTTAAAATAAATTCCACTGGATTAACAAGCTTCAGATTATTTTCTTCTATACTCTTGGCAGACCCTTAATTAGCAGATATTTTACTTTAAATTAGACTAATAAAATAAAACGCAAAGAAATGAAAATCTTCCTTTAGTTCATAAGTCTGTTAGTACACAGGAGAACTTAAGAATGTAACTGCCTTGCTGTCTCAACACAGAAAAATAAAGATACCACTGTCAATAAGAAAGATCTAGCTACTAAGGAAATGGGGAATGCATGAAATGACTATGCAAATTACGAAAGTCACTTCTCTAAAGGGAATCTGACTCTACACAAACTTAAGCACTACACGTCGACGTTTTGATGAATGCAGCAGGAAGTTCTAAACAAGGAGTGATATATCCTTTAAGTTATCCTCAAGTTATTTCTGGTTTTTTTTCAGATGACTATTGAAACTACATTTTAATTCACGTGATGCATTCTTAGCAAATCTTGTATCTAACAACAATCACACAAATACATTTGTGTGATTAACTACCACTGTAATTAACTTTAACCCTGACAAATGTACTTGTCTTTCTGTAAGAGAAGCAACTTGAGCTAGTATTACAAATTGGAGTCGTAACAAGTAAAAAAAAAATTTCAGTGACAAATTACTTCATCTCATTTATTACATCTTCATTTGCAGTGTAATTAGAAACTTAGGAAAACTGAATAAACAATATGGATTGCTTAATTCACCTGGGCATTCTTCCAGAGAAAAAAAACCTGACAATTAGAAGATTCAAAAGAAAAGTAAGCTAGGAATTTCTCCACGCAATCAAGGGAACAAAAACCCCAAAAATCAATAAGTCAGACCACACTCAACACAAATTTAGTATTCTGCAACAAATACAAGATAACTTTACATAAGCAACTGCTTAAACCAAATGCCACTTAATATATAATTATGCATAGATTAAAGATTTGTTTTCTAACAGTGTTCCGCTAATGTTGACAATGCAGACAATGTGAGGTTCCTCCTGCAGATGTCCCAAAACTATTCAACAGTTTAAGTAGAATCTCCTTTTTATTTCACAGATGGATGGTGTATGGGAACTGCTGAGTCACGGCCTGAACCTCTGATTGATCACCTGAGGTGAGCCATGAGTCAGCCAGAGGAGCACAGGTGAAGGCAATTCAGCTGTGCTGCCGGAAGGGGTGGAGCCAGGCTGCACCCCTCCTGGACCTATTTAAGAGCTGGCTACCAGAGGGGAAGGATCTCTTCTGAAGATCCCCTCTATTGGTATCTTCTGGTGAGCTCAACCCAAGGGTAAGCTCTTCCACTTATTCTCTTTTTGTTATTGTTGTCTGCTTTGCCTTACTCTCTTGATTATATTGCAATTATAACATCTTGATATCTATTGATTATACACAATTATATTGTGATTATAACATCTTGGTTATACAGATGGCCTATATTATAACTTTCATTTGGAAAAAAAATCCAAAAACTTGTATTCTACCTATACTTGTAAGGTTTCACACATTTCAAACAACTGTCATACAATAACTCGAAGTATTTACCTGTAGTTACACTGCTCTTAATTGACACACTGAAGCCTTCAGATAAGGAGAACAGTAGATAAAACTGTTACCTATGACAGCATAGGCTTAGTTTCTTAAGGGCAAGTTCATTAACTCCCAGTTACTGGCTTACCTCAAAGAAGCCTACTTGGTAGGAAGTAGGTTGAAAATTATCAGTGACACGTAAACTGAAAAAAATTAAACACATATCTACATAAAACTGAATAGTCCCAGTACTCTTTTCTATTAAGTCTGTACGTGTCTTTGATCAACACAAATGACAAACTTGCTAAGTAATTATTACAAGTTCACATAGTCAATTTGTATTCTTATAGTAACATCAGTTTGAACTGTGTATTATTCTGGTGTGTTGTGCCACAGAAATGAGACACAAGTTCTTTCAAACCTACAGAAAGAAAGCTTTCAGGTTGAAAGCCCAATTCTAGTAGGCGTTTTTATATAACTACATGGAAACATGATTCTCTCCTTCTTTAGTTTGGATCTTTTAAGCAACAGATACAGACATGATTCTTTGTGCAGCAGCCTTCCCGTATCAATAGTAATAAGCAAAGTTAAATTTCAAGGATGTAGGCAAAGATGCAACAGTGTCAGAATTTAAATAACAAATAAAAACAAAGAATCAAAAGGACACAACTTGTTCTTTGCAAAAGCAATCAAGAAACTCACCACAGAAACAAGTGTAAGTTTTAGGAACTTGTGTAGAAGCATTCTGACAAGCTGGACATCTCCAACCGCTGTTACTATCTGTAGATAAAAAACAAAAGCATATGAAGTAATTAAGAGACCTAACTTGTGAATCTATAAGAGCTAGAAAACAGGTAAAAAAAACCTGTTTTTGAGAGTAAGAGCTGAGAAAACAGGTTAATAAAAATATCTATGATATTGAGTTAAACACAGCAATAGTACTTCATTTGAGCTGAAAGGACTCCTGCTTCACAAAGAAGCAAGAACAAATTTTTTAAATTCTATTTTTTCTATCAATATATACTGTTATAAGAAGAAAAACCGACTTTACAGAATATAGACAGTCACCTCCTGTTAGGACTTTACATGCCTTACAGAAGACCAGTTTAGTACTGCTTCACCACATGGAAAAAATTAGAGTGATATAAATCACAATAATTTGCTTTATTTAAGTAGTCACTATGCCTAGCTATTAACAAGGACACTACTTTTTTAAGTTGGTATATTATAGTACATACTTCTTTAGATTTAATTAAACACACTTGTGTGTTTCAGAAGCTTGTTGTTTGGCAGTAATGAAGGATGGTGACGGAAGGAAAGAAACATTGATGAAAATATGAACTGCAGTGTGAGGAAAGATACATTCATAAAGATGTGTACCAATGTCTGGATAGGAAGATATGCAGGTCACTCTGAAAGTAATGCCTCTTGTATAGGGAACTGCTAGGTGCAGCCTGAACCTGTGACTGAGCACGTGGTGATGGGCACAGCCAGCCTTGGGAGCACAGGTGGAAACAATTCATCTGTGCTATTGGAAGGGGCGGACCCTGGCTCCACTCCTCCCTCACCTCATTTAAGAGCTGGCAGCTGCAAGGGAAGCAGCTCTACTTGGAGATCAACCTCCTCTACAGTGTTCAGCAAGCCCTGATCCTCAGAAAGGGGAAACTGATTCCTTCCTTATTATCAGACTGGGACCTCTAACTTTCTTGGGCAATCTGAAACTGGTTTCAAACAGCCATGACTACTATCACTTATCCTTACACTCTTTTTCATTTCCATGAAAACTACTACAAAGAACGCACTAACATTGTTTGATAGAGTGAATTATCAGCTACAAAACACCTTTTTAACATTGTCACCATCACTAGCTATGTGTTTTTGCCAGGATTAACAAGATAAACAAGAGCCTGTATGCTATACTTATAAAGCTGGACCAGTGGAGATGACCTACTGTCACTACTGCTGAAACACACTACCCACTGCCTTACTGTGCTTACATCCACTCTTTAGTCTCCATATTCATTCAGCAAGCATTGATGAATGTCAGAGGGTGCAATTTTTCTAAATGGTGGAATTCAGTTCCCTGTCTTTGCTTCATATGCACTTCTATGTCAGACTGCCCCTCACTGCCATCTGCTGCACAGCAACAAAATGCAAAGGTTAACCCTACTGCCATCCTATCAACACCCACTTCTGATATTATAGGCCAACATAATAAAATAGGAAGCACTGCTTTCAAAGCAGACCTCCTAGAATCACTTAGGTTGGAAAAGACCTCCAAGATCATCCAGCCCAGATATGAACCTGATGCATTACCATCACTAAACCATGTCCTGTGGGTGATCTTGTACGAAAGAACTTGTGAACAAAAATTCTATGTGTCTACCTCAATATATAAGCTGATCAGACCTCGCTGTCTCTCTTCACCAATATGTTCAGATGATGTTATGAGCATACTTTCACGTTCATGTTGTAGACAAACTTCTGTTTCCTGATGAAGATATTTTTATTTAACAATAAATTGAAACATCTCAGAGAGATGTTAAAAGCTGCTGGTAAAAATTGGGAGCAGTGGATTAAAAGATGTGAGCACCTTATCTGGCTGCTCCCACATAAGCTAACATACTAAACCCTAAGGGACTCCATATACTATTACTTTGTACTGCACACTATTACATTAACAATTTCCATTTTTCATTGTTATTTCATGTTATTTCTTTCAAAAGCTGTGAAGGCAAGGCTATGAAAGCTCCAGGAGGCTGACAGAAAGCCTCTCTCAGCAATCTCTCCTGGATGAGGGATGAGCAAGCTGTACAAGTAACTGCTTCTCTAACAGCATATTTGTCGACCTTGTAAATCAGGTCCCTTAACAAAGAAAACAGTCTTCTAAGATGCCTCAAGGAACATACATGGTTGCTTCTTCCAAAAACTCAAGATTGTTAAGGTTTTCTCACTGGATTCCAGTGTAATTACACTAGGATAGAATAATGACTTCTAGTATCCACGTTCCTGTTACCTCTCTTCATAAATCCTGCTTCCTAAAGAAATGAAGAATGAAGATGATCGTACAGAACTAATGCTCCATTCTCACAAGAAAGAAAAGTAGGAGGAGGCAAAATTCCAACTGGCTGCACCAGAAAGCAACGGTCTACATGAAATACACACAGATCTCTGCCTTTTAATAGACAAGTATTTTATTATTTGTCATCCTCTCCTTCATCCTGAGATAAGAAAAAAATCTCTATCTGTCAATATGAAAATATGGAAAAATGTGAGTAAATATTGTCAGCAGCCCTATTCATAGCATTTTCAGACAAAATTTTTGTTTGTGGTGGTATGCCCAGATCCTGCCCACTTCTACTGCATGGTTGTGGTTGTAAAAGCACAGTGAAGTGCCTCCTCATTTTCCAGAATCCTAAAGGATGAAAGAGGCTCAAAAGAATCTCGAGTAGGAAGAGCTAGGAATACATGTATTGAAACCAGGGATCTTTAAGTGCAGTTTCAAACATGCAACTCTTTCTTTCTTACATGCTTATCTAGATGAGTCACAGGGGATTACATAAGCAATGAACAAAAAATATCTTCTGGAATAAAGAATGAATGCTAAAAAAAAGTATTTCTCAAGGCAGCAATAGAGCAGGAAATTTTAATGTGCACACAACGTTACATATGTCGAGAGACATCAAAAAGAACATTTCAGTCTCTTGAGCTGTAGAACGTACTAGAGTCAAGATAGGTAGTTTCATTTTACCATTTCTGAAAGGTCAATATTATATAGTAATCTGTATCAGAAAACACTCACCTTAACCTCTCAGCTAGATATCATCAAAAGTTTTCATCCTAGTTGCAAAAGCAGAAAGTAACAAAATGTGTAATATCTAATGCACACAGATTAGCTTTGGCTCACGAACAGCACAGCTTACAAAACGAGAAAAAAAAGGCAAGTAGATCCACAGAAACTCAGAAGCTACCTTAGGAGCTATCTTTGGTTCGGTACAGACCACAACCTCATCTGTAAGTAGAAGGCAGCAGGGGGAGCAGAATAGAAAGACACAGTTCTAGCAACTCAAATCTCTCCCATCTTTCCAGACAAATTGAAAATATCAAGAGAAGTAAATATCTGATCTGCAAAGGGAGCACGTGGATTGAACTCTTGTTCTGTCACTATGAGGATGCACACCATATACCTTCAAAGAATCAGTTTGCAAAAGAAGCAGAAGAGGGCAACATTAAGTATGTTTATGAAGAAAAAATTGCTGTAAAACATCTAGGGTGCAATACAGATATTTCTATTCAGATTGACTTAAGCTGAGAAGCACCTAAGGGTCACATTCTGCCAAAGGTAATTCAAAACATGGAGTAAAACTTGCTGAGGAGAACGTTAGGCTCCTCCTTATAAGAACTTTTTTTTTTCCACGTATTGACAAACTGCTGCATAGCAAAGCTCCTTTTCCTCCTATCGACCAGGATGTCTCTAAATAAAGGACATCTATTACCTAGGTCTGAGCACTGCTGACTGTAATAATACTGAACACTGGATGTCAACAAGTCTAACGAAAATAGACCAAGTCTACAGTAATGTACTGTATGTACACATTCAGATTCTTAGACATGGCTTTGCAATACTGTGTTTTATTTTTCAGGTGATCCTGACAGCAAAAAAAGGCAAAGAAAATCAGTCTCTGAAGGAAGACATCCTCAATAAGACATATCTGAGAAAGTCTGTAAGAATAGAAATACCCATTACTCTTGATTGGGAAGACTGAATTAAGCGAGAAGATACCCCAGCAAATATGGTTGTCCAAGCACTCTGAATTTCTCTCAGATATTCTACAATGCCATGACCACCAAAAAAAAAAAAAACAAACTGAGAAATTATGCACACATACTTGGCACTTTCAATCTCCCATTATGCTTTACAAGAATGACAGATGCTGTAAAACCAAACGGAGGGACACTTTCACTGAAACATTTGGTTGCTTCAAAAACACTGAGGAAAGAACACTCAATATTGATGTTCATGAAATAAAGATTCTCACTAAGCCAGACATGCAGTGCAGCAGCTCCAAAGTTCAGGTGCTGGTATTAGATGACCCATCCTAGAATTTCTACTTAGTTCTGCACATTCAAAATAAATCACCACCACAAAAACACCAGTTTCCTTCTTCTAAAAAAACACCATACTGTTGAGGTAAGTAGATGACTGTCCTATTTCTCTTATGATACAGAATAATTATTGCTGGAATTCTGTTGAATTCATCAACATCATACAAAGCTTGAAAAATAGACTCTATACTGAAGTAGCCTACTATAAAGAAACTATACTCTGAAGCAAAATTCTTCATCATGAACACAAGTAAAAATTCTTAATCCTGAGAGTACAGCATCAATCCTTACTGCAGCTATAGAATCTGTTCTACTGACACCATATCTTTAACCATGTCTGTTTGTGATTACCTCTAGTTCTCTCACACACAAGATCCAGTGACATACATACTTCACAAATTCTTAAAAGAAAAGCAAATGGCTAAACAATAGGATCAACTGAAATGCTGACAGTATTCAAAGCACCCTTCTCACTATCTTGAGAAACAAGGAAAACCTCCTTTGCACAGTTAGTGCACTGATCAATCAAGCTGATAAGAGAAAGGATAAGAGAAAGGGATTTCTTTGCGTGTAGGAAAGCAGCCAGTTTTGCATCTAGATGCACTGATTTCATTGAGTATCATTCATTCATGTATCCAAACCTAGAAATAAGCTTTAGTCAGAGTACTAGAAAGAAAATAGCCAAGAGGATTATATAAAGCATCCAAAAAACCCTGAAAAACATTTCTAATTTAAAACTTGCTTTGTTTTCTGCTTACTAGTTACCTTGATCAGGAAACATTTTGAACCAGTTTTATATATAGAAAACAAATTTTACTATTATACATATTTGAGAGAAAACGTGCACAGAGAACACCTACCTTCAGCTTGAGAAGCTGGTGATCTTGCCCACTTCTTAATACAATTCAGGTGAAATACATGGTAGCAATTCTGGCAGCTCCACACAGGTGCTACTATTCGGACGACCTCACAACATACCATACATTCATACTTCTCTGTTGTCAGCTGCTCAATCAAAGACCCTGCAAATAAAATATGTTACTTGCATACAAAGCTTCAGTTATCTGAGAAATAAAATTCCAAGACTTTATGTAAATATTAACATAACTTCTTTTTCCTTTGTGGCTATAAGTAAGGTAATAGCTTACTTCTGGAATACACTTGATTTCTCTAGCTTAGAGCAGGGAAAGGTAGTACGAGACTCCCACAGCACTGGTAACAGTAATTCTTGCTGATGAAATGAATCACAACAATTGTGTTGTGATCTTACAAAACAAAAAAAAATAATAGTCTTAAACTTGCAAGAAGTATTTTACTCACTTTATATAGAAAGTCTAATTTCGTATAAAGTTTACAACAAAAATCTTGAAGCTTATGAACTACAGAAGTCTCAAAATTAAATTATCATCCTCTCTGGAAGACTACACAACTAATACTGGAAGTAACATTACAGAAACCTTCATAAATCACTTTAGGGGTGGAACTGCTGGGAGACAATGGCCAAAATATGAGGCTCTTAGAGCCAAACGAAAGAACATGAAAAAGCATTTTAAAAATAAAGCAAGATTTCTAAATGAAAGATGAAAGCCTGAAACTTAGATGAGTTGTAACTTTATTGTATTTGCTTAACTCAATTCTGCCAGATTAACACTCCTATCAAGATGAGGCTACCACATACTTATGAAAAATGTGGCTTATGTTCGCAGAATTTCAATTATGTATTGTTTACATAGTACCAATACGAGGGAAGTTAGAACCCACAACAAAGAAGAAAAATGAAACTGACATAAGAAAAATGACTAGAAATTCAGAAGTGTTTTGTACCGCACAACTGATAGCACAGCTATGGATTTCTGGAAACTTGCAATCACTAGGAGTGTTTGCCATCCTTAATAGGATATATTCTTTCAAGCATCTCTTCTAGCCATCCTGTATCAAGCACCACAAGATTTAGAATTAACAGACATTTCCACATTCAGTACCCTATGAATTTTAGCTGCTGCAAAAGAAAACATCCTTACCAAAACCTACTTCCTTACTTACCTCTGTGAGAGCAAAACTATATTGTCCACAGACAGGATGGCTGTCCTTTAAACAGCTAGAAAGACTGTCCCTAAAAACAGTGGCAGTATATAGTGTTTTCCAAAACAGCTCCCAATTCAGGCAAGCAAAGAAATGCTGCAACTGTGGAAAGATCCTTAAACTTCCAGTAGAAGACCACTGCCTTTTTCTGGTTATTACATAGTATGTTTTTCATTTAAGAATAAGGCCAGGAGAAAGACTGAGACATCTGCAATTTTATGATTCAAGTAGATCATCAGGCTCCTGCAGAGTTACAAAGGATCAAGGAAGCTTCTGATTTTTGAGCATCTCTCAAAGGATGAGAGCCTCTTACTGGAGTTACCTTGCACTTCATCTTTTAAGTTCCTAACCGTTTGAGATGGCACAAAATTCAATTAGGGAGCAAAAATGTAAGAGTGCACTTCCCACTATCAACTGCACATGATTCTGCTCTCAAACAACAAGAAAATAGTCAGACACATTCTCTATTTCTAATTAGCTTTTCATACTACCATTCCAAATAAATACAGCAAGAAAAAAAGTTATGAACAGAACGCAGTCGTCCTCAGATACTCCTGCTCTTACATAAAACATAAGACAAATTATTGTGCAAAAAATGAATTTCAGGACTGCTCCTCTCAAGACTCAAAATGTTCAGAAACTTTTCTTGTACTTTTTTTTTTTTTTTTTTTTTTTAACATGACACCTGATAGGCATCACTTGCATTCTGGTAGAAGAAAAATATTTAAAAACATACATGTTCTTTTCTACAAAATTTACAAACCACCTGCCTACACAGAAGCCCCACATTTACCCCAAGAAATTGATACTACACTCACATGAAATAACAAGCAACATCAACTAGTCAAATTTGAAGGCAGAATAAATTACTTAAGATTGAATCTTTAATACCTGAGTACAAGATGATTTATAAAGGTTACCTGTATGAGTTTCTTTGTTTTTTGGTATATCACTTTGTTTTTTCCAGTACTGGGTCCAGCTGAAATTAAGGGAAGGCGCTTGATCCCCCTTCAGCAAGAACTTTCTTCCATTACATCTGGCAGACTCAAGCAATTCATTTCTGATCTCACTGGTCACGTTTTCATCATTTTTGTGGTCAGAGAATTCTTTCTTCCTCTCATTTTTATCTTTTGCAGTACATGCAAGAGAAGACTTCTTACTCGCTTTTGTATTTTTGCTATGGTGAGAATCATGTCTCTTCTGATACTCTTTCTCCATCGGGGGTTTATTCCACATAGGCTTCCGGGGATATCTTTTGTTTACGTAATTGTAGCCTTTCTGCTCATCCCCACTACCAATTGGTGCCTCACTGAATGCCTTCCCAGCAGAAGATTCTGAAGAGTCCGACTGAGTCAAATCCAAAGATGGAGTATTTTCAAAAAGCTCTACTTTCTGTTTAGAGCTCATTCTCTTCTCTCGCTCATGCACTTGCTTTCCCTTCTCCCTGAAACCTCTTCCAGGTGCATGTACCAGGTGTGACTTCTTTGGCTTTGCTCCTCGGCTATCTGCATTAGCTACTTCCCTGTCACTCTCTGAGGAGATAAATTCATTGTATCCTTTAATAGGCGCTCTTCTTCCAGGTAGCTTTGCAGCATCTGAAATTCCAGGACAAGCAGCAGCCTCTGCAGTACTTTGTCTTACCTTACTTTTAGTACATGTGGTATCGTTCCTTGATCTGTGCCACCTCTGATTTTGAAAACTACGATTCTTTGAACTTCTGGTACCAAAATATTGGTGAAAATCTTCAGAATTCCCATACCGACTTTCTGGATTATAAACGTCATAATGCTTTGTGGAAGAGCTTCCATAATCTGTAACTTTTTCAGATAGAGTAGGACATAATAAACTTCTTCTATTTTGATTCCTACTACATTCTTTCCTATCTTTCTTCATCCAATTTATATCTGTAGATAGTCTTTCTCCTGAAATGGAATCATCAGCATCAGGATTCAGATTCAACGCACCTAAAAAGTACAAATAATAAAGACAAAAGATTTAAAAAATAAACATCCCTTAAAAATAAGATTACCATACAGGCAAAGGCCTGAACAATTCCATGCTAGACAGAAAAATTACAAATCTATTTTAGAAACTAGAGCTGAGATATACAGATTCTCTTGCCTTTTTTAAACACAGATGGCGATGACCTACAAAATGGTGGAGTTCTTGACTAATGGTAAAGTTGGGAAGGAGATCGGTATAATTGCTACCTTGGACCTCCTGAAGGCAGATATTGAACCACAGGATTCAGTCCTGATGGGTGAAGGGAGCCAGGAAGACTGGAAACCCCTCAAGAAGGAAGTCTTATGGACACAGAAGCAGGCTGTCCCCACCTGAATTAAGACAAGCCTAGCAAAGCTGGAAGCCCATGGCTTGGACGGGTACACTCTTTGCTGCATAAAGAACTGGCTGGATGGCCAGGACCAGAGAATGGTGGTGGATGGAGTTAAATTCAGCTGGTGACTGGTCACAAGTGGGGCTCTCCACGGACTGGTCCTGTTCAATATCTTTATTAATGACCTGAATGAGAGCATTCAGTGCACCCTCAGTAAGTGTGCAGATGACACATGCTGGGAGGAGGCACTGATCTGCCTAGTGATAGGAAGGCCCTACCGAGGGATCTGGACTCATACCTCCCTACAACTACCTGAAAGGAGGTGGTGGCAAGGTAGAGGTCAGTCGCTTCTCCTGTGCAACCAGGGATAGGGCTAAAGGGAATGGCCTCAAGTTGTGCTAGAAGAGACTGAGGTTGGACATCAAGAAAAATTTCTTCTCCAAAAGAGTGTTTAGGCACAGGAATGGACTACCCAGGGATTTGAGTCACCATCCCTGGAGGAGTTCTAGAAACATATAGATTTTGTGCTAAGGGACGTGGTTTGGTGGGGAAATATTAGTGAAATGTGGTGGATTGGATTAGATGACACGGAGATCTTTTCCAACCTTGGTGATCCTATGATTCTACAGGAAAGAACAAAAAAGAAATAATAGAAAAAACAACTGAAGCAGCACAGTATGTAAGCATACAGTACAGTGCCAATCAGTTTAACATGGGCATAAGTCACCACTATCATGATTACATACGTTGCACACACCATAAGAAAAAGTCTTTTGCATACAATTTCAAATTTTAATATTACAAAGAATTTGAAATATAAATAAAAACCCATCATCTCAAGAGTAACAATAGATTTGCATGAACCCTGATTATACTCATCTGTAAACAAACATACTGAACGGTACAATGATTACAGAAGACATTCTGTTTTTCTATTATGACAAGCATGTCCAACCTGCAGGCTGCACACAATCTAGCACAGCTCACCACGCAGCCTGCCCAGTGCAATCCAGGCTATCTGTCTTCCACAAGGAGTGGGCCTGCCCAGCCCTGCCCATGCACCCACCAACAATCAAACATCAACGTGTGACTGGCACTCTGTGGGCTGAAACAAGAACACAGGCAAGGTGCACTGCAGGGCTGACGCTTCTTGCGCCTTCTCTCACGTTCTGCTGCACTGAAATCCATATGCATTCAATGAGGCATGTGCTTGTGCTGCTTGATGAGTAAAAAGCTGATGGCCAATACTAGTATTTCAACCTGTTTAATGGTATCTCAAAAGCAGAAGGAAGATGAAGGAAGAGTATTCAACAAAATATGGACAGATGAGTACTTTCATCAAGACAAGTAATATGGCACTGCGCTTAATGTCTAAGGAAATAGTATCAGTTTTCAAAGATCACTATTTTAAAAGATACATACAGAAACATGCTGTCAAACGCAATAATATCAAGGAATGCTTCATTAAGACAAAATAGTGGAACTGAAAAAAAGTCTGTCATCTCAACAAAACCATCTTTAAAAAGTTAAAACTCCAACGAACTCTGATATAAAAGTTAGTTACAGGGTAGTAAATCAGATTGAAAAAGAAAAATCAAAACTATTTACTGATGGTGAGCTTATTAAACAATGTATGGAAAGTATGGTATACGTGCGTCCTGAGAAAGGCAATGGATTTTTCTAAGATCATGTCTCAGCAGACATGTAGCCAGAAGAAATAGAAGAACCTATCAAAAGAAATTTGGAGGGTAAAGCTGCCTAATTTCAAATGTTATGTCTTGGTGCTGGATGAAAGTACTGATGCTACAGATACGGTTCACCTGGCCATTTTTTTTTTTTAGTTATTATTAATATATTTCACTAAAGAAATAGTTCCTTTGGTACCATTAAAAGACACAAATAAACCTGGTGATCTGTAAGAAGCAGTAAAAAGTGTACTAGAGCAATTTTCTTTAACCCTTTACAAAGTATCTGGTAGCACTACTCACAGTGCCCTTGTGATGGCTGATAAAAAAGGAGGAAATTATAAAGTTAGAAGACAATGCAATTGCCACCAGTCACTAACATTTGATGAAATAAAACTGTGTCACACAACATGAAAACTTATGTGTGAATGCTTTAAAAATGGGTAATGTCAAACAAATGATCATTAAATCCGTGAATTTCATCAAGTCCAAAGGATTAAATCATTATCAATTCCAGCAGTTCTACAGAAGTATGGATGCTGATTACGGGAACATCATTTACTTTTCTGAAAGAAGGTAGTTAAGGTAAAGTAAAAGGCTAAAATGATTTTGTGATTTGTGAAATGAAATCAAGTCACTTACAGAATCAAATGGAAAATTTGTGCCAGAACTTAAAGACACTAAATCTGTGAGTCATTCTTCATTTTTGGTAGATTTGACCACTTAATCAATATGTGTTTCAAGGTGAAAATCACCTGTGCTATGTTTCAAATCATAACAACATTTGAATTAAAACTTAAACTATGGCAGGCTAAAGTTAAGGCAAATAACTTCATGCATTTTGATGTGCTGGCTAAACACAATCCTGCAAACAGTAAAAAACATGCAGCTAGGCTTTTTATTTTGATACAGGAATTTGAGAATAGGTTTCAAGACCATTAAAAAATAATCAATTTTTTCATATATTTATCATCATTACTTCATATATATTTTCACATTATATAAATACATTATCCATAAATTTTCACATGGAACGTATAGAATTCCAGTCAGACATTCAACTGAAAGAAATACCCGGTCATTTTGTAAGACCTATCTTAACAGAGAAAAACATCACAGAATCCTTAGAGTTGGAAGGGACCTGTGAAGGCCACCTAGTCCAACTCCCCTGCAATGAACAGGGCCTTATCCAGCCTCACCTTGAAAGTCTACAGGGATGGGGCACCTGTTCCAATGCTTCACCACTCTCACTGTAAAAGATTTCTTGCTTGTATCTAATCTAAATCTACCCTCCCTGAGCTTGAAGCCAGCTCCCCTTGTTCTATCACTACAGACCTTACTAAAGAGCCTGCCTCTTCCTTTCCTGTAGCTCCCCTTTAGATACTGAAAGGCTCTCACTTAACAATCGTGCCTTATTCATGCCATCTCTTTTTTGGTAGTAAAAATATTTGTTCTTAAGGATGAAGCACAGGACAAGTAAAATGTCATCAAAAATCCATAATGAACACATTTGGGAATTCACTAAAGAACTGCAGCCACTTCCACTGAACCAGACTGATGCACTGTTTTCACAGAAACAGGTCAAAACCTCCACTTGTTTTACGTTTTCACTGCTCTGGTGAGTACCTTGAGTACTGTGTCCAGTTTTGGGCCCCTCACTGCAAGAAAGACATCGAGGCCCTGGAGCGGGTTCAAAGGAGGGCAACAAAGCTGTGAGGGGTCTGGAGCACAGGCCATATGAGGAGAGGCTGAAGGAGCTGGGAATGTTCAGCTTGGAAAAGAGGAGGCTCAGGGAAGACCTCATTGCTCTTTATAACTACCTGAAGGGAGGTCGTAGTAGAGCTGGGGGTCGGCCTCTTCTCTCGTGTAACTGGTGATAGGACTGGAGGGAATGGTTTCAAGCTGCACCAGGGGAGATTCAGGCTGGATGTTAGGAAATGCTACTTCTCTGAAAGAGTGGTCAGGCACTGGAATGGGCTGCACAGGGAGCTGTGGAGTCACCGACCCTGGAGATGTTCAAGGAACGTTTGGATGCTGTGTTGAGGGACATGGTTTAGTGAGAGCTATTGGTGATGAGTGGATGGTTGGACTGGGTGATCTTCTAGGTCTTTTCCAACCTTGGAGATTCTGCAATTCTGTAATGTTTACATAAAAATACATTAAAAAAATTGATACTTAGATATGTATTTCAGGGTATGCTCGGATGTCTCAGGAGTGGAGGCAAGCAAGCACACATACAAGGCAGCACAGAGGGTTACAAGTTTTGCTTGTCACACACACACACAGGCATTCACTTTAGATAATCCCAGGAAGTGGCAAGCAGAAACTCCTAAGCAAGTGCAGTATGAACCTTAGTAAGCTAAAACAGAAGCTCCCTAAGCAAGCACACTATTACTTACCTTGAGAGAGACAAAACACCAGGTAGGAGAAGGAACATGTCAGCAGTGGATTCAATATGTAGTGTCAGCAGGGCATCCCTACTTCAAAGCGCACTTTTCCTCACTCGATCACCACAGCTCCCCTCCTGGTTTATCCTCTCCAGGATCTGCAGAGTTTTGTTTTTTTTTTTTTGTTTGTTTGTCTGTTTTTTCCCCAACTTGCACGCTGCACCCACATGGCCAACACATGATACAGAGCGCAAGTGGAACACCTGCTTGCCAACAAGTTCTTGCAAAGCAGGATAAACTAGCAAGGTCAGCTCCCCACAAAACAAGATAAATGGCTGTAGCTGAAAATATCACTTCCCTTAAAACTGTCAGAATACTTAGTTCCATCTCAGGATCATTCTTCAGTCAGGAACCTTTAGGTCCCTGACACACATACATTAACTATATTACATATTTTATATGCAGCTAAGACAATTCCTGCACACTCAGTGCAGCCCAGGCAAGCAAAAAATTGTATAGCCACGTACTGACACAAAAAAATGAACCATTCTTCTAAT